CTCTTTCTTTCTCTCTCTCTCTCTCTCTCTCTCTCTCTCTCTCATATTATACTTCCCTCGTCGTCCCTACCGTACATCGTTTTTATAGATGCACGCAATCTGCTAGAAACGGTTGTTTTTGGAGAACAAAGTGCTGCGAAGCGGCACAAACTCGTGATTCGGGAGAGCAAAAACAGATTATTGTTATGCGAAGCGTGATGTATTTTGGTAGGATCTCCATTAACCATGAGGTCAATAGAATACACAATAATCAAAGGAGAGCCACTCGACCAACATCTCAATCTACAAATCAACCACAGCTACACATCCAAATGCTACAATGTCAAATAAAACATGATAAATCAGTGAGATATTACTACAGCAGAAAAGTACGAACGATATAGACTAGAATAGAGATGGCAAGCTGACGGTAGGGGCGATTTTCTTTCATTAGGATTGTATTCCCCCATACCAGCCATACAAATCTATTCATTGTAGATCGAAAACATCCCATAACAATGGTGTTTGAATCAATGATGTATGAAAACATGCAAGATGTTATACTAATTTGTTCATGCTTCAGATTTTGCAGAAATGTATAATAATGCTGAAGATTTTACAAAAACTTTACATAGAATGCGATGTCGTAAACAAATTGTTTTTCATTGAATCTTTGAAAGTACTTTTTCTTAATTACTTCATTTACCCACGGTCGTTTACAAAATACACCATGTTTATCTGATGTCGGCTTTCTTTACAAAATTGGAAAGAAAAACACCATTAAATTTGACGCAGAATTAAAAGGTTTGTTATTATCCTTCTACATGTTCCTCGATCATTGAATTTAAAAATGTGCTCTATACAATTGAAAAAATATACAATATAGCATATACATGTAGAATTTTACATTGAAATCTCTTGGCCAATTTGAAATACAAGAAAAGCTTATTCGTGGGCAAAAAATAATCATTATACCGCTTCCTATTAATTTATAGTTTTATCAACTTAAATGGTAGAATATACATTTTAAACATAAACACAATCAAAACATGTTTGTATATGTAACCACTTTTTATTAATTTATTTTCTCTTGGTTTTACAATATTTTTTTTCCATTTCATATTTTTTGGTATTAAGTTGATTTGAGAATACAGGATATGGGAAGGGGGGGAGCGGAAAATAATGAAAGAAAACAAGAATAATTATTAAAAAATACAAACAGAGAAAAAGAGATTAAGAAGATAAAAAAGGGAGAAAAATAAAAAGAAGGAGGAGATGGAGAAAAGACGAAGAAGGAGTAGAAGAAGAAAGAGAAGAAGCAGAAGGGATGAGGATCGTATAGGAATGAGATGGTGATAATAAAATTGTGTGAAAGAAGCAGAATGTTTATGTGAAGGGCCTAGAACAAGACGAAGTCTGCATACAGATTCTGACTTTTCATTCGCTGCTTCTTGCTTGAAAAGCTCGAGGCGATTAAATCACCATCATATAAAAGAGAAGAAGAAAATTGCATTTGTGCGTGCAAATTGACATTTTACAACGAGGAGCATTTGGGTAGCCTGTAGCTTTTTTGCCCTTTTTACTAATTCGCTGTCTTTCGCTTATTTATTTTTTTCTTCTTCACGTTATGCTTTTTTATCGTTTATTCTTTGCTGTGTCCCCTACAGTGTTCATTTTCAATTCCTTTTTTTTTCCTTCGCATTTTCCTTTCTTTATGTACCACGAAATAAATGCTCCTTCATAACGTTTCCCCGAACAAATGTATAATTCCACCGTCTAGTCATTAATCATGTTTATGTAGGCTAACTCGTTGTAGTATGTCTTTTCAACCCCGCAACTAATTATTTTGATATCCTCCGATAGCAATTTCGTTCCCATGTCTGGCCCCTTTTCCGTCTTTTCTGTTAGCTTATACCTCCGACCCTTCCCCGTCTCTCTCTCTCTCTCTCTCTCTCTCTCTCTTTCTCTTTCTGGTTCTACTTGATCTCTCTCTCTCTCTTTTTCTTTCTTTCCCCTCTGCATGTCTGTCTGCCCCCTTTCACTCTTCGTCTATCTACTTCATTAATTGTATAATTCTTCATGACTCATGTTTCCGTTTCTCTTCCCTACCATCTCTCTTTCTTTCTTCTTCTCACAACGAGCCCCCCCCCCCCTTTATTGGGGGGGGGGGGTAGATTTCCTTTCCCTTGTTATTTGCCGCACTCCGGCATGTTTTCTCTCTATTCTCCTTTATTTGATTCACCATGTCGCAAAAGGGAGGTCAACACAGCCTGTGGTTCAACATAAATATAATCCCTCTATGAAGGAAAAAATACCCCAAAAGGGTTTTCTGCCTCACTCCTTTGCTGTTGATGTTTTTGTTGTTGTGATTATTATCGTGTATACCATTTCCTCGGTATATGCTAGAGTGACATGTCTCTTCTATCATAAATGTTTTCTCCAAGATCACATATCATGTGCTATTCATGATTCCTTTCCGCCCCCACTCATTTCACATAAAAGTCAAGTCAACATGCTATTTACATTTTCTCCTCCATTTCCAAAGTATTATGATTTTCTTGAACAAAACCTGGCCGTCGTGATTTTTCCAAAAAATGTTCAGATACATAATTATATTTCTTTCCAGTTTTCTTCACAGTGGTTAATTGTGTTGGCAATGGACACTACCATCTTCATCATTAATAGTCATGACGTATACCTTAGAGTTGAGTAAAAATGATTTGGTAGCACAACATCATCATCCTCCAGCCACAGAGACTTCGAGGCCGATTAATACGTTCAGCGATTCCTTAATTTCAACACTGGACCCAACACTGACTCTACAAAAAACTTTAACCATAACCCTCACCTGGTTTCTTTAAAGAAAAAAAAACCCGGGCGATATCGGATTACTTTATAAAAAATAAAAAAATAAACCATAGTTAATTCGCTCGAATTCCCTTCATTTTTATTTTGTATGTAACTATCTACACATTTCCCTATAGCCAAACAATTATTTCTCACTTAAGAATAATTTGTCTATGGTTGTATAAATATATAATAAAATATCACCTGTTGTGATAAGCTTAAAGGTGATGGAATTGAATGTGAGAATTGGGGCCAATACACGAAATTAATTTAATCTTGAACTTTATTGACTTTACTCTTTATTGTCGTTTGTTTTTCTTTATTTTAACATTTTGACCGTTTCAAGGAAATATTTGTGATAATGTAGTACGTGGACAAAACAGTATACACCGTTTAATCTTTCCCTTTTCTTTCCATCAGCCTATATTACGTGAAATTATGTTATTTTCTTTATTTGATCCGCAATTGTTGAATGTATGCTACGTGAATTTCATCAGTAAGTCACCAAGATTTAGTGGCTGTGTCACCTTTTCGACTGTTCATGTCCCGGGGAAGTGAAAACAGTATTAGTAAATGATTCAATAAGCTTTTTATTTAACTCTTTATTCCCTATGTCCTGTGAACTTAATATTTTCATTTGCAATCTGGATAATGTAGAAAGCTACAATAGCGTCGCCTGCATGTGGGTTACTAATACCAATCCATGAACGCGAGAGGGTGCTACTTCAGAACAAGGCTCAAGAAGAGTTGATTTGGTGATAGCATGGAGGTGTATCTTTTACGCGTGTCGTTTATTTGAGAAGAAACCAGTCTTCAGATCCTGAATATGGTAGAACGGGGTGAAGTGGGAAAATGACGATGCGAGACATATCGTCGTCGTCCCCCCCCCCGGATTTTGAAAAAGTGCCCCCCGCCCCCCCCCCACCCCCCCCAAAAAAAAAAGTTTATAGCAAATAGGCCTACTTCCTAAAGACTACAAACACACTTTTGGGCTCTGAAGCCTGGAGGGCTTAAGAGTGCAGCGTTTAGACTAATCAAAATGCAAAAATCTTCTCGCTCGGTCGCTACGCTCCTCGCATAATATCCTTCGTTATGTACAAATAAATATTGTAGAAAAACTGAACTCCGTTGGTATTACCGTGTAATACAGATTTTTTTTCTCGCACTTCGCCCCCCCCCCCCCCCCCCCCCGTCATGAAAAGAAATCGCCGCCCCTGCTACATAATGACACTTCAAGAGACCAATCATTATTTAAAAAAAAGACAAGTTTGAAAAAAGGAAAATGTGGCCCTCCCTCGGTGAACTGAGTCAAATTTTACAAGTGATTGTTCCAAAGTAAGTGCTTGAATATTCAAGGTAATACGAATATTTGACTTTACATTCACTTGTAAAGTCGACCTAACGATAGATACCCTTTGTAAACATAATGGATAAATTGATGAGTATTTTTTCAATTTGTTAATGTTAAGCTCAATATTTGTTCAAAATAATACTGTTTCGTAATAACATTTATATTTACAGTAGGTTTGCGGGTGCACCATGTGAGAGAGAGAGAGAGAGACAGAGAGAGAGAGAGAGAGAGAGAGAGAGAGAGAGGGGGTGTGTAGTCCTGAAAAGGACTGTTGTTATCTTTCTTAGCTTATAGTTCTAAGGAGAACTATAGCGCTTGGAGAGGATGAGTGGCTCGACGTTTCGAACAGGTTGACTATCCGTTGCGTTTGTTACACACAATGTTGTCTGAAGTATTTTACAGGAATTGACTAATACAAGTTTATTTTTTGAATAAATAAGTACGATATTTTTTATTATGACTGGTAAAATTAACGTTCCTAACATAGACGAAATGGGAAAAAGTATCCCTGTTCACCCCAATAAGATATTTAAAAAAAACTCCGTAATGTTATTTTTTCATATGGCATTGAAAGCCTTTATAACTTGATGCCAAGAGGTAATGACAATAGGGGGCCAGGCCAAGGCCAGGTCCGAGTCGGGAAGGGTTATCATATCTCCTTAAATTAAACTTTGGTTCCATAATTCTAGAAATTAACTAAACAAAATAAAAACAGACAACAACAAACATTCTTCCAATTCAGTGGACTGCATGGGGCGATATTCTGAAAACTCTTTGATTAGGTCAAGCTCCCCCAGTGAAGGCTCCTCTTTTGAGGACAAAAAAGGTGAATTTTCTTTTTCTTTTCTTCACATCGAGGATACCATATCAGGATTCAGACAATGGCGCACATAAATGCCAAAATTGCTTCAAGAATGTAAACACTAACATTCTTTACACCATTTCTGGATTTCGTGAGCAAGACTGTAGTTGACAGACAGGTTAATGATAGCAGATGGTGGCTTGAATAATTCTACGTTATGGGGGATACCAAACGAAGTGACTACTCGCCGTTATTGACGCCTTTGGGTGAGTTGAAAACATATTAATTTTAGTGTTCAGTCCCACGCATGACATTTTTTCGGTCATTGTCAGTTGCTGTCGAGTTATCCTTGATCGCTACCAAATAAAAAGACATCAAATCAAAGGGTTGTAGGTCTAGTAATTATTGCTTTTCTCCTGCTGTTTCCATGGTTTCTACAAATTACTTTGTATTATTAAATATTTACAACTCTTTCCCAGTTCTGTGTTTGTAATTTTAGTGAATCAGAGTAGATTTCTAAATTCTAACGTTAGGTCTACAAATGTAGATCTTCTTCTTCTTGTTCTTCCTCCGCTTTTTCGGAGATCAGCGATCCCATGGGCCGCAAGACATATAACTAAACAGGAGCACAAGGTACCGGTAAACATCAAGGTAATGGACTGATAGCAGTCGATCGCGATAGGTGCATTTTATGGACAAAGAGTAAAGAAATAGCCAGTAAACTTCTATAATGTAGTAAGTGGCAGTACAGGATCAAATGGGAGAAGAGTAGCATTGGTAAATAAACACGGATCACTGTCATCATATTGTGACGCACACAATGATCGTCATGATCATGATGATCGTAGAGGAGGAAGTACTATTGTTTGTATTTTTTTGTAGAAATATAATTTTTCTGTCTAATAATTATAGACTCTAAATGTTGATAATAATATTCAACTCTAGGTCAGAAATTGGAGTCTCAATTAAACAGAGATGTTGTGTGTGCGCTATAGTATCCTACTGCAGTGATTGAATATGTGCGGCTGCGGTGAGATAGTTTTGAGTTTTGAACTTACATTTTGCAATTTACACACAAAAATTGTGCTGTAGGCCTAGTCAAATAATCTGAAAAATACTTGAAATACAGGTATCTTATGTTACCCATGCATATTGATATTGACAGAGTTGAAATACACATTACACACACAGATCTTGTATACATGTAGCCCTGACTCCTGAGTTCAATGTTTTTTGGAATGAAGAATCTTAAACTTGTGAAATTTACCACATAACTTTCTCACACATTTAATCTTAAATGGATGTTTTAAAAGACGTACTTAATAAAACTGATTCAAGCAAGTATTTGTAATCAACTTTACTGCCTTGGCAAACTCGGTTGGATGCATGAACACTTTCAGGGGAAGAATACGTTCAAGTGCTTTCAAACTTTTTGAAGAATTTGATGGCAATTGTATTTTCTTCCATTATAAGATGTCCAAGAATGAACGCAGAATAAATCAGGGCATTCGTAATATGTAAGTTAATTTTGTGAAAGTTGCCTTTTGCTAAATTTGATGAGATTGGAAGAAAATAAAGTGAGATATGGTTCTGATTCTCAAGAACTGCTGCCAGATCGCAAATGAATTTTTTTCTTTCGTTTTCAAATGGTTATGAAAGTTTATTTGAACTCACTCTTTGGATCACCATGACATGTTGATACTACCAACCCAGAATCATGTGTAATTGTGGCTTTGCCAATTTAATGATAAGTAGCAATTCAATATAGTGCAAATGAACAGAGAGTGTCACTGATGCTGAATGCAGAGTGTCATTTGTCCTCAGAAAAATAAATGTACTTGAGATATGCATTTAGAATACACACTCCTTTGATGAATGTAATTGACTGAGGGAGCTGACATGTCAGAAACAGACAGAGATGTTGGTAATCAAGTTGTATGTATTTTTGTTGAGTCTAAAACTTGAAAGTTACTTGTCATGATATCATTCTGCTGCTAGGAAGACAAGATACAACAGAACAAAATCTGCATGAATGTCTTTGATTCTAGACATGATTTTGAGCTTGGATTAGACTGGAAATATCTGAACTGCTTCACTTTGGATATTCAGTTGAAGAGTAGGATTTCTGAGTGAAGAATTTGAGATAGAAATTCAACAATATTTTAGATTTATTTTTCCGTTTTGTATTTGGCTGTGAAAAAAAATTCTGCTCAAGCACAACAAGTCATGAGGACCTCATGTTAAGCAGGGGCATGTTTTATAGTGGTTGTACTGTTGTCATCTTTTCATGTTTTAGGCTCTGGATTCATTTTGTTGTTGTTGTTTAATTTAGGCAAGTCAGTCAGTTTATGACCATTATTGCCGAATACTATAACAAATTTGTTTTGAATTCAAATTTATGTATATATGCACTTACATACATGTATATGTATATTTCTTCTTCTTCTTAAAAAAACAACTCCAAAAAAGGGGGAGATAATGATATCATGTTAGAATACCTATCCCTGTCCTTTAAAAAAAAATGTTGAGGCGCTATCCTGACAAACCTGTTTCTCGGGGGGGGGGGGGGGAGGATTCCCTTATGTCCCTCAAACGTGGACAGGGGCGCTTTTTGAGAGTTTTTTAATCTCGAAATAGACAAATTTATAATGGTTGTATTGTTGTCATTTATGTTTTAGGCTCTGGATTCATGACAGAAGAGGACTATAGAGTGCAATACTGGCCACAGCTAGAGGGCGCTGTGCAGATGCTTCTTACGCAGGAGCCTGGGGTCTATATGAAAATATCATATGAGCAAATGTACAGGTATGTCACTTTGACTGGTTTGATTATCCTTACTGGTCTTTAATACTGGAGTATAGTTATAAATAGAATACAGCATGGTACATACACAGTTTAAAGTAACAAGTACTAAAATGGACCTGATGCAGTTTGATTCATTTGATCAGAATTTATGATTAAAAATAGTTTTTTTTTTTAACATTGTCTAAGATTTGACGTTTGATTTCTATATTTTGCTGATTGTTTCTTAATTTGTTATATATGTGTGTGTATCTCATCCTTTTTCTTCTTGACAGTTGCGTATACAAGTGTGTTTGTCAGCAGTTCGCTGAGAGAATGTACTCTGACTTATGTAATACCATCACATTACATCTTCAGCATAGGGCAGTGCAATTACAGGTAGGCCGCCCATGATACCTTTTTATTCATTTCAAATTATTATGACCGGTAGACTATAAATTATTAACAAGATGAAGACAAAGACAAAGTTTTCATACAAATTTTTATAAGGTGCATGAAACCTTATTTTTAATTTTAAACAAATCACAAACATTGTCTTTTTCTATTTCTTAACCAGAGAATGTAGCAGATCACAAGATACTACCAGTATACCTGCTGTCCACGTATATACATGTATACAAGAATGTGAATTATCTGGATTATGACCAAAAGCCAAACATGATATGTATCAACCAATAAATGGTACATCAGAAGTTCCAGTAGTTTGCCTGAACCTGCCTGAAATAGACCTTTGACAATATATTGTTGATTTGTAGGACTTCATTAGTGAAAATGACTTCATAATAAAACTTATTTGATGAAACTTGACATATTGGCTTTGGTGTGTCAGATTTTTCTAGTTTTTGCAATAGATTATATCTATCTAATACTGTTTTTACACTGGCAAAATTTTGCTTAACCCCGTACTATAGGTGGGGTTAAGGGGGGTTTTAGCCCCACCTATAGTCCGGGGTTAAGCTTATTCCACTTTCTGTTCAGACTCGTATTTACCAAAGTGGGCTAGCCCCACCTATAGTACGGGGTTACCTGGCCCTGCAAAATAGCAGGGCTGACCCTGCAATTGTGGTGCTAACTCCTGCTAACTCCGCAATTGCGGTGCCAAGCTAATGAATGAGAACAGAGAACAAAAAATAGTCCGGTACTATGCAATGGAGCGTATCGCAGCTGGCCAGATGCAAAGTAAGAGCCCGCTGTCCAACCATATAGTCTGGGGCTAACGAATTGCAGTGAGAACAGCATGAATTTTCTTATTCCGGAATAGGCGCTAGTACGGGACTAAAAACAGCGTGTGTGAAAAGCCAAAAAAGTTAATCCGGTGTTAAGGATAGTACAGGGCTAAGCAGAGTACGGGGCTAAGCAAAACCAGTGTGAAAAGAGTATAAGGGGAAAATGTTTTTGTATTTGCAATAATCTAATTTGTTTTCTTTTTACAGAACTCTTCTGAGTGTCAAGTACTGGAGCAGTTTCATCACATAGTAAAGCAGTATACTCAGGCATTGGGTGGCATTGTACCCATATTTAATTACATGGTAAGTCTTCATTAGTAAGTTAATGAGAAATGCATGACAAATACAACTGATTCATTGTTCTATTATTTGACTGACTGCTCTCTATACTTACCAGTATTTCCCTGTGATATTTTCACTCACCAGTACTAATTTGTATGGGTTCGTATGATTCACAATTGATATTTGATTAGTTTCAGGTTATTGGCATGTAGTTGATCAAAATCATTTATATCTGTAAGAGTAACTGAGTTAAAGTCATTATAGATTTATCTAGCGCTGCTCAGTGGCTGCCGGGCTCACAATCAATTGGGCAAAAAGAATTTCCATTTTCGGTTTAATGAAATTTGGAGTGGACTTTAAAAGATTATTATTATTATTATATTATTATTATTGAGAAAAGAAAGTGAAATATTTGGGTAAATGGTGGATTGGTAAAGAGGGAGAAGGAAAAAAGGAGATTTGATGAAATTTTAGCATTCTTTTAAATGAAGAGAGAGACAGAGATACATGGAGAGACAAACAAACCATGAAGCATTACCCATACACAATCTTATAACGTACAGTATTCTATTTATGCTACAAAATATTATTCATAGTCATTTTCTTCCCATTATATTTCTCCCATACATGTATTTGTTTTCTTTTCAGAATCGTTTCTACATAGTACCTCGCATCAAAAGTGAGCTTAGGGTTGAATTAAGCAAGCTCTTCATACAGTACATAGTGGACATACACATAGCTAGAGTACTAGGTGAGCATTCATATGATCGTATGTAAAGTGATTAATAACAAGTTCCATATAATAATTCTGAATATTTTATCATGAAAATTGTTTTTGATAAGAAATTTGTCAGATTTCTTTGATAGGTAGTAAGATACCTATGATCAAAAGCAAGTGTAGAGATTGTATTCACTCTCGAATTTATTAATAGAGAATATTGGATATTGCCTTCAAGTCCATTGAGGAACATGATCCCAATTTATTTCATTAGTACAGGTACCAAGGCGCTTGTTACCGTATCTGGCTACAGAAAAGGTATTTGTTCATTGAGACTTGTGAATTACTCTGATAGTGTAATATGATACAAACAAGAGAAAGAGAAAGCCAAAAGAAAACTTGTTCCCATACTATCCCTCTCATATTCACCCCTCCCCCTCTCTCTCTCTCTGTCCATTTGTCTGTCCGCCTCTCTCTCTCTCTCTTTCAATCTTTCTCTCTTCTGTTTCACTCCTATATTTCTCTCTTTCTCTTTCTCTTTCAATCTGTCTCTTTCTTTCCTGTGTCTCCTATATATATTTCTCTCTTTCTCTTTCTCTTTCAATCTGTCTCTTTCTTTCCTCTGTCTCCTATATATATTTCTCTCTTTCTCTTTCTCTTTCAATCTGTCTCTTTCTTTCCTCTGTCTCCTATATATATTTCTCTCTTTCTCTTTCAATCTGTCTCTTTCTTTCCTCTGTCTCCTATATATATTTCTCTCTTTCTCTTTCTCTTTCAATCTGTCTCTTTCTTTCCTCTGTCTCCTATATATATTTCTCTCTTTCTCTTTCTCTTTCAATCTATCTCTTTCTTTCCTCTGTCTCCTAAATATATTTCTCTCTTTCTCTTTCTATTTCAATCTGTCTCTTTCTTTCCTCTGTCTCATATATATATTTCTCTCTTTCTCTTTCTCTTCCAATCTGTCTCTTTCTTTCCTCTGTCTCCTATATATATATTTCTCTCTTTCTCTTTCTCTTTCAATCTGTCTCTTTCTTTCCTCTGTCTCCTAAATATATTTCTCTCTTTCTCTTTCTCTTTCAATCTGTCTCTTTCTTTCCTCTGTCTCCTATATATATTTCTCTCTTTCTCTTTCTCTTTCAATCTGTCTCTTTCTTTCCTCTGTCTCCTATATATATTTCTCTCTTTCTCTTTCTATTTCAATCTGTCTCTTTCTTTCCTCTGTCTCATATATATATTTCTCTCTTTCTCTTTCTCTTTCAATCTGTCTCTTTCTTTCCTCTGTCTCCTATATATATTTCTCTCTTTCTCTTTCTATTTCAATCTGTCTCTTTCTTTCCTCTGTCTCCTATATATATTTCTCTCTTTCTCTTTCTCTTTCAATCTGTCTCTTTCTTTCCTCTGTCTCCTATATATATTTCTCTCTTTCTCTTTCTCTTTCAATCTGTCTCTTTCTTTCCTCTGTCTCCTATATATATTTCTCTCTTTCTCTTTCTATTTCAATCTGTCTCTTTCCTCTGTCTCCTATATATATTTCTCTCTTTCTCTTTCTCTTTCAATCTGTCTCTTTCTTTCCTCTGTCTCATATATATATTTCTCTCTTTCTCTTTCTCTTTCAATCTGTCTCTTTCTTTCCCCTGTCTCCTATATATATTTCTCTCTTTCTCTTTCTATTTCAATCTGTCTCTTTCTTTCCTCTGTCTCATATATATATTTCTCTCTTTCTCTTTCTCTTTCAATCTGTCTCTTTCTTTCCTCTGTCTCCTAAATATATTTCTCTCTTTCTCTTTCTATTTCAATCTGTCTCTTTCTTTCCTCTGTCTCCTATATATATTTCTCTCTTTCTCTTTCTCTTTCAATCTGTCTCTTTCTTTCCTCTGTCTCCTAAATATATTTCTCTCTTTCTCTTTCTATTTCAATCTGTCTCTTTCTTTCCTCTGTCTCCTATATATATTTCTCTCTTTCTCTTTCTCTTTCAATCTGTCTCTTTCTTTCCTCTGTCTCCTATATATATTTCTCTCTTTCTCTTTCTATTTCAATCTGTCTCTTTCTTTCCTCTGTCTCATATATATATTTCTCTCTTTCTCTTTTTCTTTCAATCTGTCTCTTTCTTTCCTCTGTCTCCTATATATATTTCTCTCTTTCTCTTTCTATTTCAATCTGTCTCTTTCTTTCCTCTGTCTCATATATATATTTCTCTCTTTCTCTTTCTCTTTCAATCTGTCTCTTTCTTTCCTCTGTCTCCTATATATATTTCTCTCTTTCTCTTTCTCTTTCAATCTGTCTCTTTCTTTCCTCTGTCTCATATATATATTTCTCTCTTTCTCTTTCTCTTTCAATCTGTCTCTTTCTTTCCTCTGTCTCCTATATATATTTCTCTCTTTCCCTTTCTCTTTCAATCTATCTCTTTCTTTCCTCTGTCTCCTAAATATATTTCTCTCTTTCTCTTTCTATTTCAATCTGTCTCTTTCTTTCCTCTGTCTCATATATATATTTCTCTCTTTCTCTTTCTATTTCAATCTGTCTCTTTCTTTCCTCTGTCTCATATATATATTTCTCTCTTTCTCTTTCTCTTTCAATCTGTCTCTTTCTTTCCTCTGTCTCCTAAATATATTTCTCTCTTTCTCTTTCTCTTTCAATCTGTCTCTTTCTTTCCTCTGTCTCCTATATATATTTCTCTCTTTCTCTTTCTCTTTCAATCTGTCTCTTTCTTTCCTCTGTCTCATATATATATTTCTCTCTTTCTCTTTCTATTTCAATCTGTCTCTTTCTTTCCTCTGTCTCACTCATATATATTTCTCTCTTTCTCTTTCTATTTCAATCTGTCTCTTTCTTTCCTCTGTCTCATATATATATTTCTCTCTTTCTCTTTCTCTTTCAATCTGTCTCTTTCTTTCCTCTGTCTCATATATATATATATTTCTCTCTTTCTCTTTCTCTTTCAATCTGTCTCTTTCTTTCCTCTGTCTCCTAAATATATTTCTCTCTTTCTCTTTCTATTTCAATCTGTCTCTTTCTTTCCTCTGTCTCATATATATATTTCTCTCTTTCTCTTTCTCTTTCAATCTGTCTCTTTCTTTCTTCTGTCTCCTATATATATTTCTCTCTTTCTCTTTCTCTTTCAATCTGTCTCTTTCTTTCCTCTGTCTTCTAAATATATTTCTCTCTTTCTCTTTCTATTTCAATCTGTCTCTTTCTTTCCTCTGTCTCCTATATATATTTCTCTCTTTCTCTTTCTCTTTCAATCTGTCTCTTTCTTTCCTCTGTCTCCTATATATATTTCTCTCTTTCTCTTTCTCTTTCAATCTGTCTCTTTCTTTCCTCTGTCTCCTATATATATTTCTCTCTTTCTCTTTCTATTTCAATCTGTCTCTTTCTTTCCTCTGTCTTCTAAATATATTTCTCTCTTTCTCTTTCTATTTCAATCTGTCTCTTTCTTTCCTCTGTCTCCTATATATATTTCTCTCTTTCTCTTTCTCTTTCAATCTGTTTCTTTCTTTCTTTCTTCTGTCTCACTCATATATATTTCTCTTTTTGCTTTCCTTTCTCTCTTTCTCTCTTTCTCTTTCTCTTAATTTCTCTTTCAATCTATCTCTTTCTTTCTTCTGTCTCACTCTTGCTACTTGTTCTCTCTCTCCCTCACTGATCTTTTTTTCCTTCTCTCTCTCTTTTTACATATTTCTTTCTTTTCTCCCGTCATTTAAACTTTCCATACCTATATTAACCTCTATCTCTTAATTTCTGTATATGTGTTTGTTATCACTCTGCTTTGTATGTTCTCCCTTTATAGCCTTGCTGGAAGAGGCCCAAACCAAACCTTTTGCAGTGCACCCTAAAGTAGCCTCTGAAATCACCAACAGTCTCTACTCATTTAGTCAAGGTCAGTCATTCCCCTCCTGGGGAACCCCCTTCATGGAGTCATCATCTTAACAATGTCAAGTCACAATCAAACACAATTCATGTGTAACTATGGCAACTAAACATACAAACATAGTTTTAACAGTAAGAGGTGAAAGCTGTTGCTGTTGCTGTTATCTATGCTTACAGGATTAATAAATGAAATGCCAATCAAATCAAGGCTCATTTTGTATCTATGTACTAAACAAGGGGCAAGGAATATATTATTGATGGATTCATCATCTTAACAATGTCAAGTCTCAAACACAATTCATGTGTACCCATGGCAACTTAAAATACAAACATGGTTTTAACAGTAAGAGTTGAACGCTGTTGCTGTTGCTGTTGCTGTTATCAATGCCTAGAGGATTAAGAAGTGAAATGCCAATCAAATCAAGTCTCATTTTGTATCTACAGTATGTACTGAACAAGGGGCAAGGTTAATATTATTGATGGATTCATCATCTTAACAATGTCAAGTCTCAAACACGATTCATGTGTAACCATGGCAACATGAAATACAAACATAGTTTAAGCAATGAGATGTGCATGCTGTTGCCTTGGTGCCTTATCTATGCTTAGCGGATTAAAAGGTGAAATGCCAACCAAAGCAAGGTTCATTTTTTTATCTCGTAACACTGGTAAGGTATAATTTTCATGTTCAAAATGTAAAGTTTGGAACTGAATGTTGAGTCATTATACAATACTGCATTCGTTTGTGTGTAGGTGTGCTTAAGGGTTTGGGTACAAGAATTTGATTGTGAATATTAATAACTCTCACCAACCATACTCTGATATCATTTCTTTTTCTGTAAATCTTATTGGGGATCCCAAGTTAGGGGGAGGGCCATGGGTGTTTTTACCACAGGAATTACCAATATCTAGCCCTGAAAAAAAGCTAAAATACTCAAGTAGGTTTGGGGGAACAGCAATTTACGCCCCCTTCACCTTTGCACCATCCAAATTATTGTAACATGGATTCTCTTTTGAATGTTCTATTTACTGGCATTAATTGAATATTGCAATGATATGGTAAAAGTAAAATGATTGTTGTTTGATTCCAGATTATGCTCAGCTGAATCCTGCACTATTTGCCAAGTACATCCCTAACATCCTACCTCCGACAAGGTTAGAAGATATCCCCGTCTATATCCAAGAAACTCAAAGACTACAACAAGAACTCACTGGGTGTCAAGAATTTAACAGGTATGATTGTTTGATGATTGTTTAATTGTCATATAAGTAGTGGCAGAGCCAGGATGTTGGAATAGGAGGCTAGTGTCTCAGAGCTGCCAACTAGTGCGGATTTCCCCTAATTGGTACGGAAATTAACGATCATTACGGAATTTCGGGACGTTGTCTAAAACTACGGATTTAAAAAATTTAAACAAATAAAAGTTTTCCCCCAATTTTTTTTTTTACTGATTTTGAGACTTGTGATTACTGATTTTCTGTTCTGGAGGTTGGCAGCTCAGGTGTCTGTAGTATGAAACCCCTGTGCGTTGATGCTTATAAATATCAGTTAGAAAGAATGGATAGATAACTATCATCAATGATTTTACAATTTTGTTACACTGAATTTTCTTTTTGTTTACCTTGCAGACTAGGTCACATACGGAAACGAACCAATGAAGATGAGCTGATAAACAGATGACAGTACTAGATGCATCCATCTTAACTTATCAAGTAAGAAATAGCATGATATACTGAACAAAGATAGGTACAAAGAATATTGCCCAGGCTGGGGTTTTATTAATTGGCTATGGATGTTTGATTTATGAGAACTTTTAACTTTGTTAGAATGATAAACATGTCATGTATGGCAATTTGTATAAATAGATATAAACATCTGTTAGTGCTGCCTAAAGAAATTCATTTTTTCTCTTTTCTGATTAAGAAATAATGTATTCACTATGTGTCAAAGATATGTGAGTGATTCAAAATTATTGCAGCATGATATGGATTGTAGTTGGGCACTAAAGAGTTTGTATACAGTAGGTTTATGGTTCCACCTTGTAAGAGAGGGAGAGGATTGGGGAGTCCTGAAAAGGACTCTCAGTAATATTTCTTGAGCTTATAGTTCTAAAGAGAATTATAGCGCTGGTTGGAGAGGATGGTTAGTAGGAGGGGCTTGACGTTTCGAACAGGTTAACCGTCGTCAGGAGTAGGGAATAGCTGGCGTGCATGGGCTTAAGTCACTGGGTTGCGGACGTGGGGGTGCTCTGTATCCGTGGGTGGGGTGTGGTGTCGGCGACACACACAGTGTGTGTCGCCGACGTAGGACTCCCCAATCCTCCCCCCCCCCCCTCTCACATGGTGCAATCGTTGGCCTACTGTATATCTACATCACCATGCGAGCCAATACTTATAAGCAGCATCTAGAGGGTTTGTACATTTGTGCTTGATTGGAGGACCTGCAATCAAACCTGATCGATCACAACTATTTGTAAGACGGGGTCCCAGGAAATGCAAAAGGGCAGATTTGTCTGCCACAATATTCTCAGTCTCTATTTTTGTATACGTACAGTATATATTTGTCTGAACCTATGTCCTATGTTCTATCTTGTGTAACCCAATACCTTCAGGAACCAGGTGGCTAATGTATTCAAGCCTAAGAGAATGAAATAATTTAGTAGCCAATGAATTAATGACATCTTATCTCTACTTCTTTTCCTCAACAGATTATATCAGCTTCTGTGAGGCTCTACAATGTCTGTGTGAAATTTAGTTTTTACGTTTGCAAGTCTGATGAAATCTGGGGTTTGGAATAAGCTCTCACTATCCTGTTCAACTTGCCTCCTACTCGATGTCCATGTCTATGCTAGAGAAGTTTACAAGGATGACTTGTGTTGCAATAATGTTATAGGAATTTACAGTAGCTTTGTATTAGAGGTTTACACATATATTTTGTATTTGTTCTAATCTAATGAGAAATTACTAAACAATTCAATCACTGAAGGTCACCTGTGATATACAAATTCACTAGCAGTAAAGGCTTCATGCTTTGTCAGACTGTTGTGCGTGCTCACTGTGCTTGAAGGTCGCTGGCATAATATCAACTTCTCACCATACCTGGTGCTGTTACTTTACAGTGGTCTGGTAGAAAGGATTCTTTTGTCCAAGATCTGCGTAAACGGCCCAGGTCTCTTTTATTTGTTCAATTTTACCACTGGTTTTGCTATTGCTATTCCTTCTGGGTTTTTTTTGCACTCGCTGGTTTTTGTTTGTGCTACATATAATCATTTTTGGCCTTTGTGATGCAATCATACATAGCCCTATTATTTTGGAAGAATCATAAAGCTTCATTGTGTTATTTATTTATTTATTAGACATGTCAACAAGTAAGTTGCACTTTTTTATTAAATCATTCCCTGTACATCTGTTAAATTTATACAAATAGAATTCATGGCTTTAATTTTTGTGCATTTACCTAGGTTATTCATTTTGTGTGTGTTTTTAATTCTGGTCCCCCCCCCCCCCTCCCCTTGCATCGTAAACAGTTTCAATTACATATTGCATCATAATGGTTAATTATGACCTGGTGAGTCAGCACAAGTGAACTTATTGCCTGCCCTCTGGGCCCTCTTGTATAGAAAGTTGTTTGTAAATGCAACTATAAACAAATCAGCACATGTTCCAAATGTGTGATCCTGAATGGTTGGAAATCAAGTTGTAATTAGTTGTGATGAATTCTTACACTGTACTATTAGGAGTTACTTATCCTACGAGAAGATAGACATGTATTTGAATATGTTGTTTTATTAGGAGTTACTTATCCTACGAGAAGATAGACATGTATTTGAATATGTTGTGTACCGTAATTTATTGTGTGAATATTATTTTCTGTGTGAGGATTTTAGTGCTTTGTTTGTGTTAAACTCAGGATTCTTAAAGTTTTGTTTTCTTTTTCTCTGTGTGAATTGTATATTAAGAATATGGATCAGTATTAATTCAAAAGAATGCTAAAATGCTTCCTTGAGTTATATGTTTCAGTCAAGAAGATGTAAAGTCTTGAATTATCCAATGAAGCAGGACTTTGTTTTTTAGTCTTGAAAGAGTTATGACCATAATTCAAAAGTTAGATTTAAATTTGTTCTTTTTAGGTAGCTTAGTAAATCTAATGGCACAAAAAGATGCGTCCGGAACGCAAACTACATCAGCGTTGACAATCATAATTTCGATTTTATCACACATTGGTAGAACCCCATTGTTAGGATATGGAGCTGTTCAATGCATATGCCATCCTGATGAGGCTTAACGTTAGCTGAAATTAAATTCAGACAGGTCAAAAAGAACTTTTTAACTAACAAACATCATTAATTATAATGCATTTGTGTTCTAGACGTGTATTTTCATGCCAATACATCATGGTAAACTACCCTATACTGTGGGAATTTAAGTACAAAAAGGCAAAATTTACAAATAAAAATCCACATGTATTACACAAAGAAAGTCAGCTCCTATTGAATAGGCTAATGAGACAAGGAATTACATGATCTAGATGCAGACACTTTTTTAATATATTTTACTTTATACTGAGGAGTCACATCACCATGTCATGATCAACTTTTATTTTCCCAAGTACAAGATTAGATATCATATCTGCAGTGAAGAGGGTGAACACTTCCTATCAAGGTTAATATCTCTTGTCACTATAGTACATGAGATTGTGTAGCTTGGAAAGAATAATACATGTAAGTATCTGGTTATATTACCTAGACTCCAAGAGTCCCTTTTTAGAAAGAACTGAGACACAAACATCAGATTTTTGTGGTAACTTCTAAATGGAATTTGAATTCTTCTATATGCTTCTCGCACTAGACTATACATGTTGCATGATATTGGAAATAAATAATGTGTTGTTGCAATTATAACAGGGACTGTAATACCTCGATCACACCATCGAGACTGATGTAAAACCAATGACAGACTAATCAAAATTAAGCATTACTCCTAGTTGCCAAAAATGGGTTTGTTTGGAATCGATGTGGAGGTGATTTGTGGGTGTGTCACTGAGGTATACAAATAGAAATATACAGAGCCACCTATACACAGAGTTTGGCCAATTTGGTTTCACTGGGTCACAACATGGTGTATATTCTTTTGTTTTGTGCTTGCCCAACAAAGCAGTAGTCGCCATATAGTGTACAACTCGAACCGGGTCAGCCAAACTCTGTGTAATACTGTTTATATACTGGTAATACTGTTTATATAGCGCCATCGGTTGAGGAAATATACTCAGAGATACATATACTTGATAAGTATTACTTTGGCTTATACCAGCAGTCAATTTATATTATAAGCATTTGTGGTAACAATTGGAGTGCATATTGTTAGGACTCATAAATCAACACAGGGTTAATGCCCTTCTGGCTCGGAAGATTAATGTTTCAAAATGAAAGCAGATTCTTTCTATTTTAATGATAAATCTTTGGGTATCATGAGTTGAAATGAAAAACTGAAGTTCTTAGTCAGTCCAATGTGTTTTTAGTTGTGGCTTCTCTTATATCTATTTTATATTGTTGTACTGAAATAGATTTAAGGTTTATTTATGACTGTGTTTTTATATTTACAAGAATGTGAGGAGTGAATACCTTTTGGAGATGCTAGCTAAAATTAAAGTGGTGTTAGATAGCGTTTTGTGGGATTTATAAACAATGAAAGAAAAATAATTGAACTGCAAAATTGAGAAGAGCACTGGACCTGTTGTGGATGTGACCCTTTCTTACTTTTAGATATGGGGAATTTTATTAAACAAGAGATCTAAATTATGTTAGAACTCATTTTTTGTGATATCTGTATTTTAATCACACTATGTTTCATGATGCTTTGTATGCAATGTGTAGATGTGCAACACTTTGATATTTAATAATGCAAATTCTACTGATTTGTAATTTATTAGTATTATTTAATTGAAAAGATGTCTTTATGTGCAACCCCTCTCCACCATTAATCCTACATATAATTGACACTTAATATAAAATTCAGTTGGTATGTACTTCATTTATTATGTAATTGTGTTTTGAAAATTCAGAGTTGAAACTCAGTATTGAGTTTCATTTTTTATTAACTGAATGGTAATATTCAATAATTCAATACTGATATATACTCATTTTTAATTGATTATATTATATTGTACTTAATTATTAGTATAATATGTGTATTGTGAATATGATAATCATCTGGTGCAATGCAAGGATCCCTCTTATGTAATCAAACAGACCAAAGTCAGCAATATTAAGGAGCAACTTAAGGGTTGTGTGGGGTCAATTATTGGTTTTGGATAAAGATAGTTTGTTTTATTATCTTTCTGCCATTGTTCATGTAATGTTTATAGATACATGTATTTCAAACATATTTTTACCCTAGTGGCTTGACGTCCTTCTTAAACCAAAATCAGAACCAACAGATTTATTTTATATAATAAATTACATGTTCAGGATATGGGCTGAGATTTGATTCAGTCTGATGGTGTATTAAATGCTTGTTTCCATACTCCATGCTAGACTTCCAATGTTTACGAAGAGTAAACATTCTGTTCTTCACATTTCTATATATCATATAACCATACAGAAGTGAGTTCACATAATGCTTTTGTTGCATTTGCTTTCCCACCATTCATTTAGTACACCATAGCAAAGTGTGGTAGTTTACCTTGAAACAGTGTGAACATGTCCATAGATTGGGTCCAAGTGCTAAATGAAGCATGATTGGTAGCATATATAAAAACAAACCCTGACTCAATCGGGTTATGTCAACAAACGTAAACATGGTAGCTTTTGTGTTCTTGTTAGTTGCAGTTAGTTGGTAGAGCTACTAGAACACGAATCAGCAAAATGTTAACACAAGTAAAACATCTCATATATTTTAGTTTTGAGACAGAAAATTAGTATATTCCTTAGATTTACCCATTTGCTAGCACACCCTGTACACTAACTTGTTAAATAGGTTACTGGTTGGTGTTAACATAACATGACATTATTTTGATGCGGTTACCTTCATAGGGAGAAATGCTGAACATTGTTAGTTTAATATCTACATGATATTTAAATGAATTCCTTTTACTTTTGTGATGTTCACATGTTGTCCATTGTATATCACCTGATGGCATATCAGATATTAGAATCCTTACTGTACCTTACCCTTCTAAGAAAATACAGATGAAGAAATGCTACTTGCAATATTGTAAAATGATGAATATAACCTTGTATATCACTTCAATTAAATATTGAGTATATTGCATGTGTATACATTACGTTTATGTCATGTCTGGAAATAGTTGTAAAGATGATATTTTACTGATCGTTACAAGTACAATAGTCACATTAATTATACTTCTCTTAGTTACAAAATAGAACCTGACATCCTATGTACAAAATGATGTTTGTTTTCCAACTGAAACATTATTTCTCTTAAGAATATTTTATTTCAGCTTTATCACTAAAATCTTGTAAACTGTGTATACATATTGGTTGATGATTGTTGAAGTGTAGATGCCCCGAGGTTCTCCTGAGTGTGCACAATGGATGTTTTGTAATTTTATAAACCTAAGTGAATAGGACAGTGTAAAGTATTTTCTAAGAGTGTATACAATTGCTTTTCTTCAGGTCTATAGAAAGTCTTTATAGACGTGTGAATGATGTAGAATAAAAGGAAGCCCAGAAGTGCTTCAATGTCGAACTGTTCGCATTTTGTATGTTTAAAAGTTATTTAATACCTAACCCAGAGAGTTCAATACTATTGGTGTGCTTGTGCATATAAACATAATAGTTTAACCCTAAGTCCAACATTAAGTCTAACCCAAAATGCCGATCTAACCTACCCAATGTTATAGAGAGAGAAAGAGAGGGGGAGGGAGAGAGAGAGTGACGTACATAATAGTTTAGGATCAAGATAAGGATTGTGTAGTTTAACTTCATTGGAATCTATTTTCCTTTTTTATTTAGATTGATGTCAAAGGAGGACAAATCAAAAAATAAAAGGGTGGAAGTTGCATGGACTATTTGGAGGAAGAAGAACTACATCTAAACCACTCAAAATACTTAGACGCATTAAAATGTTGCAGGCTATTTTGCATTGGAGATAAATGTGCACCCTTTTCTTATAAGCAAACTTGAGGACCCCCAAATACTTTTAAGGGCTGTATGTCACTTTATATACGTGTATTGTCTTCATGATCCCCAACATGTACGTTAGATATTGAGTGATAAAATGATGAACAGTACCTTGATATATGTATACTCCATTGCATTAATTCTATCTATCTAAGTATCTTCTCCCGTTTCGGAGGTTGATTGCAACATCTCTCCATTTCACTCTATGCACTCTTGCAGTTTTAGTCCACTCCAGTTCTTGACATTCTCTTCCCAGTTGATTCTGGGTCTCCCTGTAGGTCTACTTCCTTCCACTCTTCCCTCCAATACATCCTTTAAGAGGCTTTGGCGCCTTTTAACATGACCAAACAGGGGCGGATCTAGGGGGTTCGGCAGTTTAACCCCCCCCCCAACCTTTGGCGGCCAAGTGAGAAAAAGGGGGGGGGGGGAGAGGGAAAAGTAAGACAGTAAAACGGTGCGATTTTTGGAAAATCCTGGATCCGCCACTCGGTCAACCCCCCCCCCCCCCCCCGGCAAAAAGCTAGATCCGCCCCAGCCAAAGTATTTGATTTTTCTCTCCTTCACTAATCCTACTAGTGCAATGTGTTTACGCCCTGCCATGTGCAATATCTATTTGTTGGTAATCATTCATTTCCAGCATATTTTCATCATTCTTCTGTAAATCCACATTTCAACAGATGTTATTCTATTTTCCATGGCCTTGCTTATTGTCCATGTTTCTGCTTCATACGATAGGATAGACCATACAAAGCGGTTTACTAGTCTCAACCTAAGCGCAAATTTCACCTTTCTATCTCTGAGTATGTCTTTCATTGCCAGAAATGTATTCCGAGCAATTTCTATTCTTCTTTTTATTTCTGCTTCGCACCTGGCATCGTCTGTGATATTTTGTCCTAAGTAGATGTAATTACTGACCTGCTCAATGATGTGTCCATCGAGTTTCAAACATATTCTAGGCTTATTCTATGTTCTACTAGTACGTAGTTTTTCTTGCATTAAAGAGACGGTTATTGCAAATCATGTCATAAAATACTAAATCAGATTATCAAGGGTATAGGGTTAAATGCTGATGCAGTAGGTATCGATGCAGTCCTTTCTTCATCCTCCTCATACCCTACTGAGTAATGGAACGAGTCCCTCCTCATAACAGGGCATGTGAGTTACCTCCCTGCTCATAATCTACATGGAAGCCACAGAATGAATGATTTCTTTATTTATATGACCCAGAAAGGCCCAGAAATGTGTGAGAAAGGCATTAAGAGCGCATGTATTTCATTACAACAACAAAATGAGCAAGGTTCTGTAAACTCAATTAAGCATTAAGGCTTTGCTTATACGGGGACCTGGTGGTCCGTGTGTTAAGCCAATGTGACCTATTCAATTCAGTAGTCAACGGGTTAAGGCTGCCTCTCAGTCTGAATCAAATGGAACAATCAAACAATGGCCATGAATTATTTTCAATGCAATAAAAGTTGATCACCGATCCGGTAACCAATTCTTTGTGAAGTTACATTTGTATGGGAGATATCGCAGAGCATGGAATAATAGTACTACATACATGATTGAGTTTTCACTAAACACTGATGTGTGTTCACTTCTATTTGCATCATCACATATAGCTGCACACCGTAGCTTGCACGTCTACCATATAGATCTCACGCTATATCTACTCGAGGTGTGTCTACCTGTGAGATTAGATGTTTTCATCATGGCAGTGCTCAAACTTATATCAGCGGCAGTAATTTTAACGGGTAAGTCACCTAGCTATCCCATCATAATTATTGCCGAATTGATATCTTTAACCAATTTTTTAAGGGATTTTTTAAGGGATTTTTCTGTGTGACACCGCCTATTGTTAGTTTAATGATATCTACATATACATAACTTCCATTTACTTTTGTAATATCTCTTAATAATAATTATATTCACATGTGGCCACTACTGCGTTTCAAGTGTAAGTACGCATTCATTAAATGTCTTTAAAAGTATACCATTGTAGATGAAATGGTAATGTTGAAATCCCACAAACAACAGATCTGTCAAAGCTAGATTTCCATGCAATCGAAACCCGACTGATCAGATTAAACGTACATGTATAACAAAAGCATAAATACGAAGTTACAAACGGCCATCCAGAGACTCCTAATAAATTGCGTTTCTGATTAATGAATTATATCATAACAAATTTAATGTTCAGTTTTCTTTATGGATAACTGATTTCCTTATAAAACTGAAGATACGGCGTATACATTTAATATTAAATGAACGCCATTAAACTATTACCACCAACAACAACAACACCCATAAACGACGTTCATTATCTGCTAGGCCTCTAGTGAGGAGTGAATCATATGGACCAGGGCAGTGGCGTACGCAGGATTTTTTCAAGGGGGGGAGGGGGGGGGGGGGGGTTTAACATTTTGAAATCGTGCTAAAAAAATCGCAACGACTCAGCCAGCCGCTGAATAAGCGGGGGGGGGGGGGGGGGGGGGGGGGGGAGAGGGCACTTTTTTTTTTGGGGGGGGGGGTCCCCAAAAAATCGCAACAACTCAGCCAGCCGCTGAATAATCGGGGGGGGGGGGGTAAGAGGACCCTTTTTTTTTTTTTTTTTTGTCTCGGAATTTGAAAATTTGACATTTTGCTCCGTAGGTGGGGGGGGGGGGGGGGGGGGGTAAGGTCACTTTTTTAGGTCAGCCATTGGCATAATTTTTTTTTCTTCACCAAAGGGGGGGGGGTTTTGCACAAAAAAAACCACACATAATACACACATAAAAAAACTAAAGGGGGGTTTAACCCCCCCCCCCCCCCCCACTGCGTACGCGCCTGGACCAGGGGACCAGCGTTGTAGAGAAAAGTCTTTGTACAAGTTGTAACCAGATTTATTAGAGGTAAAATCACAAGCGCTGATACTCCTGGGAGGACGGATATATATATATATATATATAATGTTCTCGGTCTCTGGAGTGCCTTCCAAAGTAGGGGGCACCAACAAAAAATGGAATTTTATGAAAAAAGGGAAATCTGAAAGCGTATTACACAATGTATTGGACAATTATATATATACCGGGCATGGTGGCTCAGTCGTTAGAGCGCCCGCCTCATGAACGGGAGGTCGTGGGTTCGAACCCCGGCCTAGTCATACCAAAGACTTATAACAATGGGACCTTCTGCCTTCTAGCTAGGCGCTCAGCATATTAGATTGGAGAAGGGTAGTAATAACATATTATGTTATGCAGGGCCCGCTGGAAGAACAGTTTCATAACTGAAGTGGCTACCCTGGGTAAATAAAAGTTATTATTATTATTATTATTATTATTATTATTATTATATCCCCTACATTTTCATGATTGTGATAACATTATCAGGGATGATATCAATATTTGTTTCTCTCTTTACATTGTCAAACATACTGCTTAAGCATCATACTTTGCAGTTTGATGTGATGGACTGAATATTAATTTATGAGCGAGAGAGCACACAATTTAAGATGTGTGAGGTCGCACTGCGAAGAAATCTTATAAAGAGGATAAATGAAAAAATCTTGATGAATTTTAAGCACAATCTAATCATGAAAGACTGAAAAGACCTTTTAAAAGGCACTTATGAAAATGAAAAGGGTTATCTGTCTAAGGAACAGGGGCATCTGTCGACGGAAAAGGGGCACTTATGAGTTTGTAATAGGTGCATTTATCAGAGGTAAAAGGGGCGTTGATGATAAAGGGAAAGGACTCATATAAAAAGGGAGAAGGGACATTTATTCGAAGTAAAAAGAGTACTTATTAGAAAGAAAAAAGGGACACGTGTCAAAATAAGGGGGTATTTATCAGATATAAAAATAGGCAATTAGGAAGAAGGGAAGGGGCTCTTATTAAAAAGGGAAATGGGCACTTATTAAAAAAGAAAAAGTGGCATGTGTCAAGGTAAAAGGACAATTATCAGAGGTGAAAGGGGGAAGTTATGAGAAAGGAAAGGGGCTCTTATAACAACAAAGATTAGTAAACAGACACAAATATTACAATATTACAAAGCATTAAAACAAAAGACGAACCTGCAGAGGGGTGACAAAAAAACACAAAGGTTTATCGGGGGCATCCCCATGCTTAAAACTACAAATATATTTATTACAACTATATTACAAGCACATCTATTTTGGGGGTGAGTGGTATAGTGGGGTGAGTGGTACCAGGGGCGGCCGAGCGTCTTCCAAAGTGGGGGGGGGGGGGACCAAGAAAAAAGGGCACCTACATAGGGAAATCTCAAAGCCAAAATATACAATCTTTTAGACATTGGTATATACCCCTACATTGTGATTACATTATCAGGGATGATTTCAATATCTGTTTCACTTTATACACCATACAAGATATTGCTTAAGCATCATACTTTGCAGTTGGGTGTGATGGTCTGAAAAATTATTTGCGAGCGATCGAAGTGAGCAAGGGAAATTTTTACTATTTGTGAGATCGCAGTGCGAAAAATTACATGTTATAAAGAAGAAAAGGGGCCCCCATCAGATTTTGATAGAGGCATTTATTGGAGGTGAAAATGGGCATTTATGAAAAAGGGATAGGTCCCTTATTAGAAAGGAAAAGGGGCACGTATCATTGTAAAAACGTAAATTATCAGAAGTAAAAAGAGTACTTATTAGAAAGAAAAAAGGGACACGTGTCAAAATAAGGGGGTATTTATCAGATATAAAAATAGGCAATTAGGAAGAAGGGAAGGGGCTCTTATTAAAAAGGGAAATGGGCACTTATTAAAAAAGAAAAAGTGGCATGTGTCAAGGTAAAAGGACAATTATCAGAGGTGAAAGGGGGAAGTTATGAGAAAGGAAAGGGGCTCTTATAACAACAAAGATTAGTAAACAGACACAAATATTACAATATTACAAAGCATTAAAACAAAAGACGAACCTGCAGAGGGGTGACAAAAAAACACAAAGGTTTATCGGGGGCATCCCCATGCTTAAAACTACAAATATATTTATTACAACTATATTACAAGCACATCTATTTTGGGGGTGAGTGGTATAGTGGGGTGAGTGGTACCAGGGGCGGCCGAGCGTCTTCCAAAGTGGGGGGGGGGACCAAGAAAAAAGGGCACCTACATAGGGAAATCTCAAAGCCAAAATATACAATCTTTTAGACATTGGTATATACCCCTACATTGTGATTACATTATCAGGGATGATTTCAATATCTGTTTCACTTTATACACCATACAAGATATTGCTTAAGCATCATACTTTGCAGTTGGGTGTGATGGTCTGAAAAATTATTTGCGAGCGATCGAAGTGAGCAAGGGAAATTTTTACTATTTGTGAGATCGCAGTGCGAAAAATTACATGTTATAAAGAAGAAAAGGGGCCCCCATCAGATTTTGATAGAGGCATTTATTGGAGGTGAAAATGGGCATTTATGAAAAAGGGATAGGTCCCTTATTAGAAAGGAAAAGGGGCACGTATCATTGTAAAAACGTAAATTATCAGAAGTGAAAAGAGGTACTTATCGCACCTGAAAAGGGGCAATGACTAGATATAAAAAGGGGCACTTATGTGAATGAAAAAGGGGCACTTATAATAAATGAAAATGTGCATTAGATGAAAGAAAATGGGCACCGATCAGATTTTAAAGGGGCATTTATCGGAGGTTAACGGGGCACTTATCTCAAGTGAAAAGGAGTAACTTCTCGTACCTGAAAAGGGTCATTTACCAGCGAAAGGGCACTTATGAGAAGGGGGTGGGCGCTTATTATAAGGGAAAGGGGCACATGTGAAAATATAAGGTGCGCTTATCCGAGTTAAAATGGGGGTAGCTATTAAAAGAGGAAGGGGCACTTGTCAAAGTAAAAGAGGCACCTCTCAGATTTGAAAGGGAAATTATCAGAGGTGAAGGGGGCACTAATTAAAAGTGAAAAGAGGCACTTCTCCTACCTGAAAAGGGTCACTTACTAGAGATTAAAAAGGGCACTTATGAGAATGGAAAATGAACATTTACTGCAAAGGAAAAAGGGAACTTTTCGAAGGAAAAAGGGCACGTGTCCAAATAAAAGGGGCACTTATCAAAGTTGAAAGGGGGAAGAGGCACTTTTACAAATTAATAGGGGGCACTTGTCAAAGTGAAATTGGCACTTTTCCTATGTAAAAAGGGACACTTTTCCTATGTAAAAAGGGACACTTGTCAAAGTAAAATTGGCACTTTTCCTATGTAAAAAGGGACACTTTTCGGGTGCTATGAATGAATGATAGTGAGAAACACCATACGTACCATGTTGGATACATAATCAAATATTATTTCAACTTTGGCTCAAAAGAATGAAGTGACGAGCAAATGACAATATCTTTAGGAAGTAGATTCCATAGTGATGGTCCACTCAAATAAAAGTTCCTTCGGAGAAAAAATTGTTTTAACATAGGGCAAAGGAAACTTATTTGAACTTCTTGTTTCATTATAAATACACGGCAGCTGATTCTTCTCGAAAAGAAACATAAATTGTGCAAGTTGCATATGCTATAGAGACTTCACACTTAAACTATTCAAGCGTTTATACTAAGGTGCAGTATGTGCAAGATATGGAGAGTTTGTTATTGCACGAACTGCCCGTTTCTGTAAAATATGCAAACGGTTTGTTAAAGTAATTGAACATTCACCCAAAGCTAAGACGGCATAGAAGGGCGTTAATATTTATTGAATGAAAACATCATATTAAACACAGATTATTCTCCCTTAGGGCATGATTTAATATCAGAAGTTACAGACAAATAGAAACAAAAAATATATAATAATTGTTGGAATTAGGAAATGAATAATATGTCTGTTTGGAACTAGAAGGGCGTTAACTGTGTGTTAACGTATATGATTTAACGCCACTCTCGTTCAAAGGGCGAGAAGGGCGTTAACTGTGTATTAAAGTGTATGATTTAACGCCACTCTCGTTCAGAGGGCGAGAAGGGCGTTAACTGTGTATTAAAGTGTATGATTTAACGCCACTCTCATTCAGAGGGCGAGAAGGGCGTTAACTGTGTATTAAAGTGTATGATTTAACGCCGCTCTCGTTCAAAGGGCGAGAAGGGCGTTAACTGTGTATTAAAGTGTATGATTTAACGCCACTCTCGTTCAGAGGGCGAGAAGGGCGTTAACTGTGTATTAAAGTGTATGATTTAACGCCGCTCTCGTTCAAAGGGCGAGAAGGGCGTTAACTGTGTATTAAAGTGTATGATTTAACGCCACTCTTGAATTGCTCTGATCAGTGAATCTATGCGTTTGTACAAAACTAGAAGGGCGTCAACTTTGTTTTACACTTTATGATTTCTGAGCTGTGAATCTATGTGCTTGGACAGAGGAGACTGATTTGGGGATATAAAGAGGCATTTTTAAACTGCATTGTTAAACGAACCGCAACTTGGTCAATTTCCAAATTAGACTTTAATCATTCTTACCTCATATTGTTATGGTGTCAGCGAAGTACAATGCTGCAAACAAGAAAAAATACCATGACAATGGTACCTTGTATTGCATGGTACCTTGACTGCAAGGGGGCCATGGGGCAGCATCCTCCTGTCACAGCCCCCCCCCTCTCCCGCAATCGCTTAGTTACCCGTCTATTGCCCAGAGCTTTTACTCAAAGTTTAAAGGATACAGTTTAATATCACCCTGCCCCAGCCCCTTGACACCACCACCCCCCACCCCACCTCCATCCCATGTTCGATACTGGTGCCGCCGCTGTCTTTTTCTTAGTTTTATTCTTAGTCCCTCGTTCCCAGTCTTTGTCATGATAACCAGAGTAACGCCATTAGACAATGAACAGTACTGGATAATGTAGAAAAGGATTTGAATGGTATCGGGATCCGCCCCTTTCTAAAGCATTAGTTAAATCAACACGACGAATATGGTTTGAAATACCATTTCAATGACCGAGTGATTAATTATTCATTGGTTGATTGGTTGATTTATTAATAATAATAATAATATGGATATTTATATAGCGCGTTTATCAGCCAGGCCCTGACGCTCATGGCGCTGTACATCACAAACTATCACAAACATATAACTTTCTTAACTAAAACATAGTAAACTAAAACAACACAAATTATTACGCTACATTGACATGATTAAATAGCACTATTTAGAAAGAGATGGGGTTTTTAGAGCAACTTTGAAGTCATGGAGGGCAGTTAAGTTACGAATACTAAGTGGTAGCTTATTCCAAAGGGACGGACCAGAATGAGAAAATGCTCTATCCCCCCCAGGAACTGCGCGTCTTAGGAACAACTAATAAGGAGGATTAAGATGAACGAAGATGTCTTGTAGGTTTATACCTAACGTAGGGAGGAGCAGAGTCATACAAAGAATGGAAAACTAGCAACAACAACTTTAAAATGATTCGGTCACATACCGGGAGCCAGTGAAGAGTTTTGAGAATGGGGGTGATGTGAGTTCTACTAGAAGAAAGTGTGACAATACGTGCAGCAGTATTTTGCAGTTTCTGGAGTCGAACAAGTTGTGTGTTAGGGAGCAGATAGAGAATAGAATTATAGAAATCTAAACGTGATGAAATAAGAGCATGTACAAGTTTCTCTGTGATTGAACGACTTAATTTTTTTCCTAATAAAACCTACATTTCTCAGTTGATATCTGACTGACTTACAAATACTAGAATCAATTGATAGATTGGTAGATTGATTGATTGAGTGAATGATTGACTGATTGATAGAATGAAAAATTGATAGATTGATAGATTGATAGATTGATAGAATGATAGATTGATAGACTGGTACATTGAAAGTTTGATAGATTGATATATGAACTGATTGATTGATTGATTGATTGATTGATTTCATATATTTACAGCATGGAATAAACAAGAAAGAGAAGAACTATCATGATACCTTAACAGAATGCCCCTTGGAGGTTATTAGTGTGGAAGTTAATAGTTAACTTATTCCCGATGGGTTCCTGAAGAATAAGATTGAATCATACAAATATTCACTAAAATGATGTACATAATTATGTAATAAAGTGCGAGAGTTAAGTCTAAGCTAATATAATTTTGAGAACACTTTTCTCAGTATTTTGGTTGTTGGGAATCGTTGTTCCCAAAAATTAGAAATTTCACAAATGACCTGTTCTGCAGATCAAAACAACTATGAATAATAAGTAACTAATTACATTCATATAGAACTCTGATCCCGGTTTAGATTTTATTTTTAAAGCGATTACAATATGGGTAGACAAATAGGGTTTGAAGAAAGCATAACAGAGAAGATATTCCGTATAATTGCATATGACATAATAGAATATCAGGATTCAATGAACATTGTACATCGGATGATAAACCAATGGAAGCAGTGATGTTTGAAAAATATACAGATCATATACAAGATTTTTGTTATAAACATGCTGGAAGTTTGTATATAATTACGGCACTTTTGTTCATAATGATACCATTAACCTTGTAGCCTACTTTTCATTCATGACCGAAACTGGAGCATGTGATATTAAAAAAAAAAGAACAATTAAGAGTATTGAATAACAGCATAATCATGGCGCTCATTAGTTTCTTATTGATAACCGAAAGCTATTCTTGTTTCCTAACGACAGAGAACTAATTCATTAAAGTGACACTATTCTTGTTCAAGTGGTAAACGTTATGTGCTTCCTATATTTCAGTGATAGGTGAATGTCATAGTGAATACTATGGGAAGCTGATTGGAGAGTTCATACAACAAGGCGATACACCAGCCACTCATCATAATGTAAATGGGACGGTGTACGCAGTAGATGATGACACACTACAAATCATTGGATTCACCTTCGATGGAAAAGCTCCTGGTAAGATGAGCTCCAAGTTATTCTTTATAAACACGAAGGATTTCTTATTTAATGAACCTATGGTAATTTCAGTAGCCTTACCATCACCCAATGAAATGCGCAAAAATTACGATGACGTAGTATACATAATCCAATTATGATATCTATGAGATAATAAATAGCGTATTAAAAATGATTTCGACTTGATTTCTCGAAAGCCTCTGCGATCGTGTTTTAATTTAATTTGAATGATCATCCTATTGGCCCGCAGCTAAACATATGACTTAAATATATGATTATTTAGACAATGCACCGTGCAGAGCTTGATGAATAGAGCCTATACAAAATATGCAGGTCGATGTTTTTTATATGGATAATCTGTTTTTTTTATTTTCTTGAATTCAATAAAGATGATGAGTGACCGTTTTCCTAATACTGTCATATTTAGATTTGTTTTTAAAACGGCCTTTAGTATGAATCAGAATATCAAAAGCTTGATTCATAACATAGACATGGTAACAAACATTACTATGGTAACGTGTAAAGCCATATTTTGATTTTTGCTCGCAGACACCTTCTTTTTCATCGGTACGTCAGGAACACCTTCAGGAAATAGCTACGTCATTCCTAAGGCAATCGGACTTGGGTAAGTGCTATGCTATGTATGTGATAATATCAAACATAATATATATGAAAGTACAAGTCATTTCAAGACAACAATAATCACAAAGATCTGCAATGCATTTACTATTTTGATTGCATCTATTTACCAGTATTAAAATATAATTTGATAAACCATCTTTTAAGATAATATTGCAAAAACGTGTACATTAAAGGTTTTTATGACTGAAGAAAAAGTAAGGCAAATGAAACCATAAAATGCATAGTTCGAAATCAATTATTTCTATGGGTTCAAAGCAGCTTGGTACTATGCACATAAGACTTATTAGTATGATAATGATATACCACTAGCTAGCATTCTTGAAAGATGTCAAAATGGAACAATACATACGTTTATGGGGTGAATCATACACATACGTATTCTTTAAATGCGTACCTTTTCTCCCCCAATAAGACATATTTGGGGAAACGCCCCCTACCGTCGTACAACCAACTGCAATATCATGTATTGGAATGTTTATTAATGAAAGATCGAACCTTGTTACATTCCTGTTTTACATTCATTTAGTTCTGAGAAGTTAGGTGCATACAGCAATGAGGACTTGACAATTCACCTTGATACATCAGAAGGACCTGGAAGTCTCTCAGACTACCTCTGGATATCGGTCTGGTGTAAACAAGCCGGGGTAACTATTCATCTTGTTTATTGCTTTATACACAACTGCACCGTTTTCCTTTCATCTCATTTCATAAAGATTTCCGCAAAGATTTCCGGGAAATCAACTCGAGGCAATTTCAATGCGCTATTGTATCCCATACAAAAATTATTATAATGCGTTTGAAACATGTTATCATAATGATCTCATATTCTAATATGTAATGGACGAGGCTTTTAATATTGCCTTACGTTGACTTTTCGAAAGTTTTTGAGATCGTATTATCTTAGTATTGCACTATATAAATCGGCTTCTCATTATTATTATTACCAATATTAATGTTAGTAATATCAAATTACTATTGTTATGATTATAATGATCGTTGTTATTATTGTTGTTATTATTATTATTAATAATATTATTATCATTCTTAGTAGTAGTAGTAGTAGTAGTAGTAGTAGTAGTAGCAACAGTAGTAGTATTGGTAGCAGTATTAGTAGTAGTAGTAGTAGTAGTAGTAGCAGCAGTAGCATTAGAAATAGTAGTAGTAGTAGAAGTAGAAGTAGTAGTAGTAGTAGTAGCAGCAGCAGTAGAAGTAGTAGTAGAAGTAGTAGTAGAAGTAGTAGTAGAAGTAGTAGTAGAAGTAGTAGTAGAAGAAGTAGTAGTAGTAGTAGTAATAGTAGTAGCAGCAGCAGTAGCATTAGAAATAGTAGTAGTAGTAGTAGCAGCAGCAGTAGAAGTAGTAGTAGAAGTAGTAGTAGAAGTAGTAGTAGTAGAAGTAGTAGTAGAAGTAGTAGTAGAAGTAGTAGTAGAAGTAGTAGTAGTAGTAGTAGTAGTAGTAGTAGTAGTAGTAGCATCATCATCGTCATCACACCATTAATGTTATCATACTGTGCTTTCTCTTCAGGCCAACTTTGCGGATGTGACTATCCCATCGGACTTTACCCCTCCCCAGGAATACTCACTTGGTAGACTAGGTCTTAGCCCTGTTGTTCATGGCGTCACTGCTGAAGACGTCATCATTCTGAACTCTAAACTCATCCGTTTCGTTGGTCTCAACTATGATGGAAGAGGACCAGGTGGGTGTGTTTTATTACTTAATATTACTGTTAAACGAACTACACAGGCTTCCATTTACTAATAGGTACAACATGTACAATGCTGGCTACTTGCCCTCTATACATCTTCTTACTCTAATGGCAGCGGAGAACGTATTCACTCTTATCTACATCAACGCCTTCCCTTCTCATTTCCCAAGTCCTAAAACAAAATGGCTTCAAATCTGTTCATTCCGTTGCCCACGCTTATGAAATAAACTCACTGCCTTTAAATACAAAAGTACTTCAGTCTACTTCTTCAAAGAACATCTGAGAACGTACATGTACTCTTACAATTCTTCTTAATTTGTTTACAGACTAAGAGACAACATAATATACAAGGCGCAATATTATACAACATTAGTATCATAATCATCCTACTCTGGGTAGATTGCATTCTACTGTATATACTTCTCATATCTCAGTATATACATCGCAGTTCAGTTGTTCTATTCTGCTTTATGACGCTTTTATTTAATTATTGTAGTGTAAGGACCCCAAGGAAGAACACTAATGTTCTATAAACATTGCTGTATTGGGCTTTCCTCCGATTTTTGTCTGTGTGCATGTATCAATATTTCATTTTGTATAATTACACCATGTATAATAATGTTATTTGATTTCGGAAATGAAAACAGCAACAACAACAGTTCATATCCTCAACTCTTAGTGATATCATATATATATATGTATGGTAATATATATTTCTCATCTCTCAGTAGATACAAGTATATCATTATCACACACACTTGATCGCATTAGATCTCTCTCAACGTTCAGTAGATCATGTTATATAATTATTCTCATCGCGTGGTAGAGCGTTACCAGTACTTATGGACTACATTAGTCTTGATTAATAATCTTGATTTACAGATGGTAACATCTTTCATTATTACAAGGCATATTCTGAGAACCTAAACAATATGTGTCGTATGGAACGAAATATGTTATCTCTATCACATAGATGCTTATTTCTGGACGGACACGGTGACCAATCCTACTACTAGCGGAATGAGGGTTCCTCAGGACGGTGAAAGGTTAGCATCTAGATATTCCACATACTAAGAATCTTGCTATACGATTGGTCAAAAGTAAATCACGTGATGAAAGATAGTTCGCCCATCATTGATGGGAGAAGAAAAGTTCGTTGCACAGTGTAGATCTACACACTTTCACTGAAGAAAAAATACTATCTACACAGTGCAACACACTTTCTTGCACACGTTGCGTATACGTATAATGCGTACGTACTGCATGCACTTTACGTATCGCTCACCGTTTGCTAGCTGTTAATTGATGATTTGTTGCTCTAAAATGACGGAAGAAGTGAAATGTTTCCGATGTGGAATATAAAGCAAATAGGAACCTTTTCGTTTCAGGCGATGGCAAACTATGACTTCCTTGGCGATCTGAAAGATAGCTACATCCAGATCTTCTAGAAAATAATAGTTTTTTTCCATCACCTTCACCAACGGTAATTATTTGCTAATACTGTTGAATAGTTTAGAGTTTATCTCATGAGGTTGTTGTTAAAGATAGAATATCTAACAAAAGAAAAGACACCAACAATATTTAAGAACATTAAATTATGTGTTTGGAATAAAAGTTCGAGGAAGCATCGTGTAAATTCATAAGAAAAGGTATAATTAGTTTAAAGCACACGATATCGAGCAAGCGACATATCATATCGTCCTAACCAGTTAATCTGGACGAGGTAAAATACACAGAAGAATAAAACGGTTAATTATCTTGATGAAATTACAATGGTCCAATGGAGAAAAACAAATCAACATCATAAACAAAGAATAATACAAGTTTTAGAAGGACATCAGTTATCATGGATTTAACGAATATTAACAAAATGTATCGTTACAGAACCGCCAGCAAACTGAATCAGCCACTGTCTGGAGTAACACGCACTGTCCGTTTACCTGGTGATGTATTCGAATTACGGAGTATAGGTTTATGGTGTGTTCTAGCTAGACAAAACTTTGGTCATGTTGTTATCCCTGATGACCTGATGAGTCGTGGCGTGATCATACCTGCTACTGCTGCTGATGATGATGCACCAGTATGTATCCATCTCATATCATGTGTTTTTATATTTATTATCATTATTATTATTATTATTATTATTATTATTATTATTATTTTATTTATTTATTTATTTATTTATTCATTTATTTAAAAAAAATAAAAAAATTGGGGGGTGGGGGCAAACTGTAAAAATATTGTTCTTCTTCTTCCACCCCTCCCCCTCTCTTTCTCTCTCTTGCTCTCTCTCTCTCTCTCTCTTTCTCTCTCTCTTTCTCTCTCTCTTTCTCGCTCTCTCTCTCGCTCTCTCTCTCTCTATCTCTCTCTCTTTTTCTCTCTCTTCATCATTCTGTACATATACATGTATAGATACATGTGTATAGATAACTATCCATCTATTTATCTATATAATTATCTTTGTTTATTTCAGTCTCCTTTTTTGGCCGAGTGGCTTATAACTATCTGCATTCAGTGTGTTAATAGAGAGTTGATTCATTCATGTACATGTATTTACATAAACACAACAGTTAATTTCAGATGCAACTAAGCAAACACAATCTGGGCTTCAATTTAAAGGTTTTTTTCTCTAAGAATAAATATCGAAAGTTTCGTAGTTATAGATATTCTTTTTCATAGAAACTGAAAATGACCAGTAAGTGAAATTATTTTACACATTGAAAATAATAACATTTCTGACAGAACATTTTAAACGAATGTAATTGAATCTGAATGATGGTGATGACAAGAGTGATTATTTCCATTTATCAGAGTAACATTAAGAACGAATATAAAACCCATATCAAGTAATGTGAACGTTATCCTTGAGCCCTGTAGGACTAATCATATTTAATTGTCCATGTATAGGCTTATGATAACTGTGAGGTTCTGAAAGACGATGATTTTCAGGTGAGTTGGACTATCGATGGCGATGATATTGCTATAAGTCTAGCTAGTCGTCAAGGATTCAATCAGTACATGGCCTTTGGTCCGAGTGGCTCTGACTCGAGGACGCTCATGCCTGGATCCGATGTCATCGTCGCTTTCATTGACGGTGACACCTCCATGGGCATGGTCGATGACTACTACTTGTCAGATTATACAATGGTAAGTACAAGACTACATAACTATAATCACTTTTACTATTACTTTTACTTATATTACTATTATTATCGAAAATGATATCGCTAGTGATATTTGTTTGTCTTGTAATGTCTCTATATTATTTCGATACTATACATTCGCAATGAGTAATATGTTTAGCATTATTAGCACTAATATTAATTAAATTTCAATATCCTGTAGTTAGTTTGGGACGTCAAGGGTGAACAGATCAACGGTGAATGTCGGTTGATCTGAAGCCGGTCATCCCTCAATCTTTTTAAAAAAAAAATTATTTTGTATTCTTCTAGAAAAGTCCTTTATTTGTTTCTTTATGTTTTATGATGTTTGTATTTCAAATTTTAATGGTCGTAAATAAAACCAAACCAAACTAACATTATTTTTTTACTAACACTCTTTATAGTGCTAGTATTATTACTAGTACTATTACTAAGACTCTTTACTCTTAACATTTCTATTACTATTACTTTTCAAATGACTATACTATTAATATTACTATATTCTTATTATTGATATAACTAAGTTAGACTACTGCTATTACTACTGCTCTTATTTATTAACTATACAGTACTAATATCCCTGTAATTCTATACCTGCACTTATACTAGAGTTTATTTAGCAAAGGAAGACCTACAACATCCCTGTCATCATCACAAATAGGACAAAGCAGCAACAGCTTATCAATACCCGAATTAGAAAGATTGATAAATCAGTGCTCAGGGATACATGTCGACCCACCACCAGGTCGTGCCTACCAGCTGTGATGCTCTTTAATGCCCGCTCTTTAGCCAACAAGTTTGGTGAGTTTGAAGCCACTCTTTGTTCAATGCAAAATGTTCCCCACCTCATTGCTATCACAGAAACATGGTTTTCCCAGGACAACCCATCTTCTGCATATCAAATTTCATCATTTAAACATTTTTACAAAGATCGTAACGAACGAATAGGTGGTGGAGTTCTTCTCTATGTGGACAAGAATATAAACTGTTATGAAATCTTCAAAGAACATGTACCTGAACATCTGGAGGTCTTGTGGGTTCGTCTACGATCATCTACTACTATCCGCCTATCAAGAGATATATATGTATGTGTACTCTACTCCCCACCTCGGTCTCCACATAAAGACCAACTGAGTGATCACATCATAATGATGATTGATAGGGCTCGAACCCTGTCGGAGAATGCATCTTTCATAATCCTTGGTGATTTCAATGACCTTCCTACAGATCATTTGGAACAGCACACCCTCTTGTCCCAAGTAGTAAAAGAACCTACCAGGGGAACATCCATCCTAGACAAATTATTGACAGATCTCGGGGATCGTTATGGAGAGCCTGTCATTTCAGCACCCATTGCTTTAAGTGACCACTCTGTTATTACTTACTTTCCTCTGCTCCTTTTTCCACCACGTAACACTACAAAAATATCCTTCCGACCGTTTCGTGATTCCTCTATTCGCGCCTTTGGTCAATGGATCACGCAGATGGACTGGTCAGAATTTAAGGAATCCATTGATGGGAACAAAATGACTGCAAATCTTCACCAACTTCTAGACACAAAATATCGGCAATACTTTGATCTTATCACAGTCAAACGACGTCCCAACGATAAACCATGGATGAATGATGCCATCCGCCGGGCCATTACTCAGCGCAATATCAGCTATACGCGAGGTGATGACTCATTTCGTAGCGTAAGAAATAAGGTACAAAGAGAAATCAGCTCTGCCAAGAAAAGTCTCTATAGCAGGAAAGTGGAACATCTGAAACAAAGTGAACCTGGGAAATGGCACCAGCAAATTCGCCACTTAGCAGGACTCAAGAAACAGTCTCTCAGCTTTCCAGCCGACAAATCCGACTTGGAGATTGCGAATGAGATAAACGCTCATTTTAGCCGGATTTGCTCGGCCCTTCCATCTCTCGACCTGGCTTCGCTGCCGGACTACCTCCCTGCGCCGACACCACCTCCAATCATCGAGCGACAAAAGGTCTTTGAATGCCTACGAAAAGTCAATGTCTCCAAGGCTGGTCACCCGAACGACTGCCCAACACGCCTCATCAAGGAATTTGCGTACGAGCTGTCTGAGCCGCTCACCCACATTTTCAACTGCTGTTTGAAAAATGGATGTTTCCCACATATCTGGAAAAATGCATCAGTATGTCCAGTGCCTAAGGTCCGGCCGGCAACGACACCTGACCAACTGAGGCCCATTTCTATCACGTCAGTATTAGCACGAGTGTTTGAGGGATTCCTTGCCCGTTGGATTATTGAGGATGTGCACCATGCTATTGATCCCCAACAGTTTGGGAACATGCCCGGAACATCAATTTGCCATTACTTAATCAGTCTCTTGGATAATGCTCATCGGGGAATTGACCGACCTGGGAAGTATGTTAACTTATGCATGATCGATTTCAGTAAAGCTTTCGATCATATCAACCATGTCACAGCAATCAGAAAAATGATTGACATAGGAGTTGACCGCTCCATTCTCCCGATTATCTGTAGTTTCCTGACGCAAAGAACGCAAACTGTTCGTTATCGTGGGGTTACATCAAATCTTTCCCACCTCTCTTGTGGTGTTCCGCAGGGAACTAAATTAGGACCCATTATTTTCCTGATAATGGTTAATGATGCCGCGTTGTCTACAGAAAACCGCTGGAAATATGTCGATGATCTAAGCCTTCTAGAGGTTGTCAACAAGTCGGACCCTCCGCAGTTACAAACACACATTGATTCTCTTGTTGATTGGTGTGAAATAAACGACATGAGGCCCAATCCAACGAAGTGCAAAACCATGCTGATCTCATTCTTGCGTAATGCACCGCCTGCCCCCCGTTTGGAGATCAATGGTAATCAGCTTGAAGTGGTATCTTATATGAAATTACTTGGTATAACAATCCAAGATAATCTTAAATGGGATCTACACATCAAAACCATCGTCAAAAACGCATCACGAAAACTATATGTACTGAGCAAACTTAAAAGGAACGGTGTCAACACTCGGGACTTGGTATTGATATACATGATGTACATTCGTCCGTGTCTTGAATTTGGTGTACCTGTTTGGTCATCTAGTTTAACTTTTGTCCAAGTAAACAGCATTGAGCGACTGCAGAGGAGAGCATTGGGTATCATCACTGGTACATTTCCCGACACCATGTCTTATGCTCAACTTCTGCAGTCGCTGAGTGTTGTCAGACTGTCTGAACGACGCTCTGTTCTTTGCGAAAAGTTTGCTAAATCCCTAATGATCTCAGACCGCCACCGCCATCTCTTACCTGAAACTAGACAAACTATCTCACAACGCACTCTCCGCAACTCTCTCCAGCTCAATACCCCCAAAATGAGAACAGAGCGTTACAGACAGTCTCCCATTCCCCACTTCACACGAATCCTGAATTCAAATCTGTAGATATTTTCACTCAATATAATGACTATATGTGACTAAGATGTAATTTATTAATTTCTTGTCATGCCATTTAATGGGATTAAATAATATTTCATAGTACCTGTATAATGATAGGACTATATTCTGTAAGTAAACATAAATTGTATATTTTGTATTATCATATCTCTCGGAAAATCATCTACCGGTATATAAAAATATATTTCTAAAAGAAATGTCAACTAGGTTAAAAAAGACTACTTATTAATTTGAAAGTGTATTACTTAATTGCATATGACATTTAGAAAAGGGTAACAACATATTTTACTATTTAAACGTTACAACTGCATAATTAGAACATGTATTATTTCAAGATTGTTTGAAATTAGTTGTTTAGTTCATTAGAATCAGTAATTAATATAAAAAAGATTGCTAAAAGTATTGATTTCTTTATTCTTGTATGTATTTATAATTTGTAAACTGAATTGTATGAGTCTCCGGACTTTTTATTCAGTATGTTTTTATTTACAATAAAACCAGAATTGAAAAAAAAAAAAAAAAAGCCTTATTATGTATTGCATGCTGTCTCTTACTATTGATCGTGCAAATGATTTTTATTAATGCTTATTGAGGAAATTTTAGGAATAAGCTGACCCGAATAATATAAGCTAAGCCTGCTGTTTATGTTCATGTTTATCTTGTCTTTGCAGTGTGCATCAGGCAATGGAGTATGTCCAGATATACGGGCTGATACAAGTTCTCCTGGAACCAATGACGTCACCTTATCTGGTTTTACTACAGACGGTGGCATTACACGCATCAACTACAAACGGCCTCTCAATGCAAGTAAGATACCTTACAGTCCTTAGATATCAACAAATATTATAATTATGGGAAGAGAACTGCAATGATAAGTCATTTAGCAAAAGATAGACGGAGACTATGGGAGGCAAAGTTTGTTATACCCGATATTTTCATTGATCCATTCTCTTCTTCGTCGAAGACAATAATTATAGGGTTGCAAAACGATTTTAGGTTTAATAGATTTATAGGGTTAGGGTTATGAATAGTGTTTGGTCTCGGGGTGAAGTTAGGAATTCGATTCGTGTAGGTAAATTGACCACACACATTATAGTAAGCAATAATTATGTGGTAGTGTATGTGTGGTAGACCATGATATTCATGAGGAACGATTGAACAGAAAGTTTAATCTTGGCGACTTTGTTAAGACATGAAGTGAATACTTTACAATACCGCTTGAATGATTACCCTATCCTTTTCTCTTCTCTGCTTCTTTCAATTCTCTTCTTTTTCTTTCTCTTTGTTTCAATTTATGTTCGTCTTTCTCCGCATTTTTGTTAACAACCATCCACCCATGATCTTTCCCCCATCAGCTGATCGCTTTGACCGAGCCATCATGGCGGCTGGTCCTCAGTATATCAGCTGGGCTCTGGGACCAATCAATGATGATGGACTAGCTACATATCACAATTCTGACAGAACTCCAGGTATGAAGGCAATCTCCTTACACAACTCTCATGACATCATGATTCAATTCAATTCAATTCATATTAATTTCATTTCCAACAGAAAGATAAACAAAGGTATTACATTTTCTTCATACATAATTCATTTTTCTTGATAACTATACAAATACACTTTGCACACAATTAAAATACAAGAAATGCTTAATTTCTGATAAAATGGGGAGGGGGGGGTCCACTAAAAAGCAGTTCTTGACGTTTGTGGATCCCCCAGAAAAAATTATAATCGTTTCAAATTGTGGCTACGGAGACTTGGAAAACACAAAGACAATATCACAAAACAACAAACAACCACGAAGCGACAAGAAGAAGTAAAACAGATCAAATAAGTAGGAAAAGGGTAAAGGGGAAAGAAGGGTGACGGAAGAAGTAAGAAGCAGGACAAATCATGACCGAAGAAGAGGTAGTTATATTGGTGATTTTGGGAAGGTAAGATCATAAGACCAAATAAATATTAAATTATAGGTTCATCTCTTTCTCGGAAGGCAGTAAAATATATTTTGATGTGTATTGTGTTATCACTTTTGGGTCATGGCTAAATGTTAACCCATGCCCTCATAGTTGCCTTCTATACAATTCATTGCGTTTTTAATTTTGACTGGGTCACGAATCTTCATTGCAAAAAAAGAAAGAACGAAGAAGAATTTAAAGTAATTTCGTAGAATTAAGCAATATTCAGTTCATTTATGATTAGCTTCATCTCTGGATTAACAATGTAATGCTTTTTACCCACAGTGCATGATGAGACTTATCGAATTTATCAAGGTTCTAATTTACCTGTAGAATAAAAAAAAAACTGTTGTATAATATAGAAGCGTGTCATTTTAGACAAACATTTATTGCTCTATACACAAAATTATTTCTTAAATAATCAAAGTATTTACAAATACTGTAAGCTTAATCAAGCTATGAAGATCTATCAGCAGCCAATAACTACCCGTTCTCTTAAAAAGTTTAACCAAAAATTTAGTGGAACCTACATTATATTTTGTCCATTTAATAACAATTTTATAAAAAGGGAACAAACAGATCGATTTCGGGAGCGATGGCTCTAGATGCCCTGCATTCACAATGAGGACAGACGATGACGACTTTGAACCGTTCAAGGTCAAGCCAATCATAGCACTGGAGGACACTGTATTCAGATGCGATATCGGATCATCAGGAGGTCCTAAGGGGTACCAAGGAATCACAGGTATGGTTATCAGGTGGTGTCAGGGGGTACCAAGGAATCACAGGTATGGTTATCAGGTGGTGTCAGGGGGTACCAAGGTATCACAGGTATGGTTATCAGGTGGAATAAGGGGGTACCAAGGAAGCACAGGTATAGTTATCAGGTGGTGTCAGGGGGTACCAAGGAATCACAGGTATAGTTATCAGGTGGTGTCAAGGGGTACCAAGGAATCACAGGTATGGTTATCAGGTGGCATTAGGGGGTACCAAGGAATCGCAGGTATGGTTAGCAGGTGGTATCAGGGGGCACCAAGGAATCACAGGTATGGTTAGCAGGTGGTGTCAGGGGGCACCAAGGAATCGCAGGTATGGTTATCAGGTGGTATCAGGTGGTACCAAGGAATCGCAGGTATGGTTAGCAGGTGGTATCAGGGGTACCAACGAATCACAGGTATGGTTATCAGGTGGCATTAGGGGGCACCAAGGAATTGCAGGTATGGTTAGCAGGTGGTATCAGGGGTACCGAGGAATCACAGGTATGGTTAGCAGGTGGTATCAGGGGCACCAAGGAATCGCAGGTATGGTTATCAGGTGGTATCAGGTGGTACCAAGGAATCGCAGGTATGGTTAGGAGGTGGTATCTGGTGGTACCAAGGAATCATAGGTATGGTTAGCAGGTGGTATCAGGGGGCACCAAGGAATCGCAGGTATTTTTATCGGGTGGTATCAGGTAGTACCAAGGAATCGCAGGTATGGTTATCAGGTGGTATCAGGTGGTACCAATGAATCGCAGGTATGGTTAGCAGGTGGTATCAGGGGGTACCAAGGAATCACAGGTATGGTTAGCATGTGGTATCAGGGGGCACCAAGGAATCGCAGGTATGGTTAGGAGGTTGTATCAGGGGTACCAACGAATCACAGGTATGGTTAGCAGGTGGTATCAGGGGTACCAAGGAATCACAGGTATGGTTAGGAGGTGGTGTCAGGGGGTACCAAGGAAGCTCAGGTATAGTTAAGAGGTGGTATTAGGGGGCACCAAGGAATCGGAGGTATGGTTAGCAGGTGGTATCAGGGGTTACCAAGGAATCGCAAGTATGGTTAGGAGGTGGTGTCAGGGGGGAACCAAGGAATCGCAGGTACAGTTATCAGGTGGGGTCAAGTGGTATCTAGGAATCACAGGTATGGTTAGCAGGTGGTATCAAGGGGCACCAAGAAATCACAGTTAAGGTTTATATTGGGTCCCAAATTTACAAGAAATTTGTAAAGCTAATATTTTGCTAAATATTTGATATTATGTTTATACTCATTGTTTTTATTTGTTTGATTACATCTTCTCTTTAAATTCCTCTCAATTTCTTCTGATTATACCTATTTTTGGTAGGTACCGTTGGATGGGGCATTGCCTGGTATATCGATCGAGACCTCATCCCAGAGATCACCGTCAAAAGGAACCAGACCTATACCTTTAAGGTGTATGGAGGTTCGAACCCACAACAATCAGCTTCCTATCATCCCTTCTACATTACCACTGACCCTGCAGGTGGATACGATCAGCTATCAGAGGCTGATAGAACTGTGAGTATCACCGGTTGCCTGCTCTTTTCTTAGTTGTTTATCTTAATTGTCATCCGTTTTATCATCGTATTTCTCTCTCTCTCTCTCTCTCTCACACACACACACACACCCCATCTCTCTCTCTCTCTCTCTCTCTCTCTCTCTCTCTCACACACACACACACCCCCTCTCTCTCACACACCCCTCTCTCTCTCCCCCCCCCCTCTCTCTCTCTCCCCCCCCCCCCCCCCCCTCCCCCCCCCCCCCCCCTCTCCCCCCCCCCCCCCCCCTCTCTCTCTCTCTTGTCCCATATAACATGTATAGCCTAAAGTGTAAACATCGTTGAATTGAGCCTTCAAATTTACTACAGTCCTTATCGATGTATGATACATTTTAAACATTTTTTGTTGGTCTTGATATTGATTAGATAAACTAGATAGGATTGATTTCAATGAGGCCAAATTAATATGAATGATGCAACCAATAAAACATTTCCATTACCATTCTAACCAAATTAATAAAACTGTGCCGTGAAAGATTATGGCGCAATCCAATTTATGTCCGAGTGTCAACTTTATTAATATAATTAAATGATGATGACTTTTCACTTTTATCTTTAGAATCATGAGATTCTCGCAGGTCCAGTGAGTAAGTATCAAGAATCAAATCAACTAATTTGAGTAACTGTTGTTTAGCTGATTATGCATTGTTTAGAATGAACTTAATATCGTCAGTTAAGAATGAGAGGGCCTTAAATCTACAGGAAAATCCAAGATATCTTTAAGCACTTGGCAGATATACTACCCCAGTCATCGGATTCGGGCTTGCCGGCACATAATGTATGCACATTCTCCACTCCGTAGGGAGCATTCCAGCCAGGCAGAATGTGACACTAGCTCACAATGCTGAATAAGTTACAGTAATGTTTGCATCCTATTGGAACCCCAATTATTACCTGGGTGGAGTAAAACAATGAAGATGCAATGGTGACGATCGATATGCACATATCTGATTACTTTCGATTAATGCGTGACAACAATTATGCAAATCATTGAAAAGAATTATTGGATAGTGTTAGCAAACACATAGCTTACGAACATGATCGTGAAGACTTTCATTAAATCAATGCAAAGGCAATTTCACTAAATACCCAATTATATTGCCTCCATAAATCGTAGTCGGATTGCGTCACGCATCATTGTAATGTTTGCACATTTCAATAATTGACACAGAAGGCTAGTAAAACTGCTTTGTGTTTATATTCTGAAAGTCTTTCCGATCATAATAAGGCCATAAGTGTCGTATCGATAATCGAACCTTAGTTGAGTGTTCAAATAACTCAATTATCTTTGTATTAATATAAGTCCTCAATTTTCTCTCACTGTATCTCAGACGGTTCATATTGTATCTACGAGGAGACTAATACCACACCCGATGAAGATGATATCGACTCGTATGAACGCTACCGTGTTTCTCTGCGGTTGAATTGTCCTAATGGTGATGAGAACCCTGGTACTCTCGTATGGACTCCTGATGAGGACACTCCTGACGTCGTCTACTATCAGGTTTGATTCAATTTCAATTTATTCATGTTTCCAACAAAACATTACAAATCAATTATAACTATTGAAAAACAAATGTAAGTAATACATGTTGGAAACAGAGGGGTCCACTAAAAAGCAATGCTTGTTCAAGTGTGAACACCTCAAATGATACTCAGGAATAATGATTAATTAAATTAATTAATCCGTAACTACACAAGGAACTACAAAATAGGGGAAAGAAAAAGGGGGTGCCAACAGAGACGAGAAAGGAACAGGACAATGCTTTAAACGACAAAGATAGAAGAACACGGTCATGATACAAAGAGTAGACAATGATAAAAAGAACTTAGTATCTTAGGTCTTACTATTGTTCATATATTTGTTAATGTCCGTTTCCAATGAATACTTATACTATCTAAATATTCATCAAGTTTTCATTTATGTATTCACCCACATGTACATATTTGTTTATTTATCATCTGATTGGCGTATTGCACAATTGATTAATACTTGTGTACTCAGTTATTATTTCTTAGTAGGGTATAGAATTATATCTATTTTTGAACACATAGTATTTAATTTGTCTATTTACTTATTCAGTAATAGATTTATTTATTTCACATGTTGGTACCGAGTAAATTAATTCCTCCAAAAACTCATTCTTGTATTGTGAATACTAAAGTGTAGGCCTTTACTTCACAGCAGAAATTAAACATAGGCAAGTACGACATGCTAGCAAAGATATATTTTGTTGTTGTGATTTAGTACGTCCTTTTAGGTAGGTGGATTGGCAGTTGCGTTTATAAACAAATATTAATTTTGAAGCCTACATAGGATATTATCTTCCCATAAATATGTTCAAACCATGACCAAACAACACTATTATTTTCTCTTGCAGTGTTACACCCATCGTAACCTTGGTTGGAAGATCAACGTCTCAGATGATGCCAACAAATGTGTTCTCTCTCTTATCACCATGACAACAGCATTCATCATCGCCATCTTGCTGATGGCTAGAAATGTTTAACTTGAGAGGCTGTAAAACAAGTGTACATTGTATTTCATTCACAATGACTGTACGCGATTATCTCTACTTTCTGAAATAAAAGAAGAACTTTTTAACTCGTAGATTCTAGTTTATTAAGGTATGACGAATCATTTAATTCTGTATATATGACTCACATATTTGCACTTATAAGCATTTTTATGAGATATAAATGGAGTGCCCTGTAGTGGTGTGGGCCATGATTCCTGATTCCTGATTATTCTTATTAAACCACATGTCTACAAAATTAATACGGACATCTGCATACATCTGAGATGTTCTTGACATGAATAGAGGTTAATTATCATAATAAATTATTGATTTTGTTTCCTTTACAGAAAAGTAATGTAAGACGTTTAAAATGTACATGTATTATTTTCTAAAGTGTTATAAATTGGTATTTGTGTTAAGCATTAAAAGACGTTATTTCAAGCCCAGTCACATTCGACCTCGTGAACACGGTCCGTTTGTTTATCGGTCGGTTTGAAGTTGGGTTTGGCGGTGTAACTGGGGTTTGGCCTGTTGTAAATGTTCGTTGTGTATGCTAATCTGTGTAGTTCCAAGTAATTCGTAGATGCAAAAGATTCTTATATTCCGTGACGTCTGTATGTATATGTCATCAATGTTTTATATGTTATATCCTCGAATGAAAATATTTGTTGAAATAAGTGGTTCTAGAGGTGTAGAAAAAGTAATATTGTGATTTTTCTCGTACTAACAGAGGAAAGCCTAGTAAGCTTCAATTACATTTTTCAGACTAGACCTTGATATTTTTTCAATGCTTACTCATGCTCTTTCTCTCTCTTCTTCTTTCTGCGTTTCTTTTCCTCTCTTCTTTTTTCTCTCTCTCTCTATCTCTCTCTCTCTCTCTCACTTTCTATCTTTATCTCTCCTCTTTCTCTCATTTCTTTCTTGATCTACAACCCATTTTAATTTCTATAATTATATTGTTTTAGACCTATTTCTCCCAAAAGACTTATATAACCCAGATATGTTAACAAGTAATTCTTCTTGCTTTATCTTTTGTCTCAAGAGTCATTTCACTGCTGCTGATAAAGTCATTCAAATTTGACGCATATTTTTCTCCTAAAAATTACTAATAACTTGTATACACCCATTAAAACTATGATGAGCATTCAACTTTTTGCAGTTTGTGAAAGTTTTTCTTGCTAAATGTCTGTCCTCAATAAGTCACAAAAGCTCATATTGCACAAAAAATCTGGTTTTAAAGTAATCAATGTAAATAAAAAGAGAAAAGGAAGAAAATGACAAGTGATATTATTAACATGGCCGACACTCATTGTTTTCAATTTATTGTAAAGGTGCCTGTGTGAACGGTATGGCGAGGACATATGCTACAAAAATAAGGATGGTCTACATAAAAAAAAAGTCAAACAGAATTTCCAGGAAAAAATGACATGTACAACATTTGAATACTCCATGGTAAAAACAGATTGTCAATTCCAAAATTGACAACCAAAATTTAAGAAGAGAGTAAAAGAAAATCAGTAATATAAACCACTTTACCTGCATCTTTTTTTTCAAATACAGTTCAAAGAACTTAACTTAAAATGTGAAATTAGCAATTCATTTTGGGATTAGCTTTTACATCTCCAAATTCATTGCCATGAGGCTTTGATATCAATTATGAAAATGCCTCGCATAAAAACAATGAAAATTAAGAAGAAAGAAAGTTAAATTGTTACCAACCCAATGGAAGATTTTGTTTTCTTTCAAAAGACTATTTGATACTGTGATACCTGAGAGAGTTTTGATACATGCGTTTATTCTTCTCTTCTAAATCCACTTCTGCTTGGAACCAAATAATGGGTGGAATAAAATAAGACAACAGCAATGTATCCTTCAACTCTGCACCCAAGTCAATTACAGAGCTTTAATACGACCAGCCACCTAAAAATATTCACTTTTAGGGACAAATATCTTTAACATTTTCAGTACAAAACAATTGTAAATTTACAAAGTATACAATATGATGAGCAACAAGCAACTGTTTACAAAGTTTTGGTGCAATAATTTGCAGATAAAATTCTAATCTACAAAAAGAATGTAATCTAAAGCTTTCTTTGTAGAATGATTTGAATAAGGCATCAATAAGAGAGACAAGTCAAGTCTCATAGCTATTAAGTGTAATCACTTATCAAACACACCATATGCAACTAAATGTTGAACAAGTGCTTACAGACAAATTGAATGATATGGATTGCATAAAAACGTTTTAAAAAGAAGCAAATCACACAAATAAAAACAAAAACAATAAAATAATATAAAATAACTACATGATCCCATTTCAACTCGCATGCTTATTCTATAAATCAGTTCCCACTGTTTATAGATGTACTTTAAATTCTTTCTTCTTAAATCAATGGGAGGCTTGCAGTACAGCACTAATCAAACATTCATTGGTAAAAACAAACTCTAATTTGAAATCATGTCTTCAATAGCCTTGATTTGAGAAGCTTGACAATAGCTTTATTACAGTAGATTATACCCACAGCTAAGGGTTACCTGTTAACTTATGAATGGTATCTAGTACAATCAACTCAAAGAGAATTTGAAATGTAAACAGGGTTCAAGTTTGCGATCCTCCACATGGTTACCCCTGTTAACTGACTTCTATTAGGTGAACAACAACAAGAGAGCTTAACAAATAGATGGATTTGCTCTTTTGATACCTCGTATGAAAGAAGAAGAGGAGAAGATCACAAGCTCTGAAATAACATTCTTTCGGTCACAAAGCTTGTTTACAATATTAAGATTACAACATTAAACTCCAACCCATGTTTACACATACTCAAAACAATATTAGTGACCTACATTCAGACCGACCCTATGAAAAGTTCATTCACCCTTCTAGATTGAGGTCATTGACCTTGATAGTGAGAGATCACTCATTCAGAAAGCTACATTCTATGTTTGCTTTGTATCATACACATGATGCATGTCACATACCGATCACAACCCCCTCCCCCCCCCCCCCCCCCCAAAAAAAAAAAAAAAAAAAAATCAGTCCAACCAAATTTATGACTGCAAACCACATGAACTTCTCATGAAAAAGAATTTCAGGATCTATTGATTGCAGCAATCAATATCATAATTTGGATCTTCTGTTGGTAGAATCTTAACAGTACGTTCTGATTCAATCTGATTAATATTATAGTTTTCAAGCTTTCTCTTTATATTCAGGCCATTCAATCCGTTCTCACAAAAATGAGCTAAAACAATATGAAGAAGTTTAAAAAACCAGCATTTTTTTCAGAACAATCTATGAGTATCTATCTTCTAAGATTTTATACAAGATTGAACACAAATTCTAATGGATCTTGTTTTACTCGTTTCCCCTGTACATGTATCAATAGTATGATTTTACAATTCATGTTACAATAGAGCTGTAACATAACTCATTAGGATTTGGTATCATGGAACCATCAACCTTAAAAGCTTACAAACACACAAATAATAATAAAGATAATTAAAACAAAAATAAACTGTAACATAGATCAACCGATATTCTAAAAACCAAGTAGTGGCAGTGCAATGATTATGATATACATGATACAATTGCAGATGGCAATATTCATGCAAATGTGAATGGTGTTCTTTTTATCCAACCAATTGCTTTCTAGTAATGGCAAGAGATACAATCCAAGGTCTCCACAATTCAACTTGGTCATGTGACATTTCTTTTGGTCACATGACCTCTGGACATCATACATGTTTTGTTCTGTGAAAATGAATAATCATTGAACTTTCTAGTTTACTCAGTTTCCTATTAATAACCTGTATGTCTATTAGAACTTCTGGAACATGAATATATGAAACAGACAAGAAAGGAATAGAAGAGAGAACAGAATAGGAGGAAACAAAATGAAGTCTGCCTACAGAGATTAAGGACCGAGCCAATATTTGATACATAAAGTCATACATCCTTTTGAAATTGGTGCTCCAATTGTTTACACCTAATGACAAAAAAGGCAAAAACTTTTTCTATATCAGACTTTCTAATAACTGGTAATTAATCAATGAGTTGTACGATTATCAGTTTACAATTCGTTTATCATTCCTACCATTAAAGAAACGTTTAGATGTCCAGAGGTTAATCTGATTATATGAAAGGGGATGGAAGATGAAATGTTAAAGGAAAACACCAAACCAGTGTATCAAATGAAGAAGACAAGGATATGAATCATTTCTTACTAGAGCAGCAAGCTTCAACCATCATTTGCATTAAGTACATCAAACATTACATCACGAAGCCAGGTGCCAGTACCAAGCACTCCAGTATTTCAACATTCTTCTTGTTATAAAATACAAAACTCAACACGCAGCCTTACAAAATCATACAAACAATATGTGATCCATAGGCTTCCAGATAAATGATTTCTACAACTACTAATTTTTTGCTGCAGTTTGTGTGAGAAATGCAGCCAACATTGTACAAAGTCATCAAAATGATATCCACATGAAGCTTAATTAATGCGCATGAACAAAATTACAGAAAGGAACATTATTGAAACAACCATCATATTAAATCATAGAATACACGCAGACGATTGAAGCGTGATGTCTTCTGTTCTCCGTTAGTCAGCATTTCCAAACTCAAAGATGAAACAAACCAATGTGAAGACACAAGCGAACGTTGAAAGAAAAGCTCAAAATGTAGGAGATTTCAAATTAAAAAAAATTGATGCCTTGTACATGTGTTGCTGTCCTTTGCATAATGTCAGCAAGCCAAGTACAAAATGACAATCCACTTTCCTTTGTACAAATATCATCCATTGTCGTCTCTCTTTCTCTGATTACCGTACTAGCTTTCAGTGTATTATTCCAGTCTCCAGATTTCACTGATATATATATTTGCTTTCATAAATTCTGTTATTCCTCTTGAAGATATATAACTTTTGGGCACAAATTCCACTAAACATGCACATACATTACAAATAGGTGAACTGGGGGTTGGTTTGTGTGCACACATATCACTCTGACAAAACAAGACAAGATTTCTACATACTGCTCAGCTAATATTTATACAGCAGTATCTCTATGCAATTCATTGTTTCGGTGGTAGGTAGAAAGTTTGTTTCATTTCAATTTTTTATTTCTAATGAGTTGCTCTACGGAGTGCGTGTGTTGGGCCTACTTGTTTCTACGTTTTTTTTTCTACAAGGATCTTATTTTCTTTCCATAAAATTGTAAATACTGCCTTGGCACAGAATACAAGACAAATCCACAAGTTCTTTTGGTTACTTGGTAAGACCACATAAATGCCTCTCTGATTTACTGAGGCATGATGACTGACTGGAAGGGTCCGATTGCCACACTCTCTCTCATGATGGTTCTCATTGTTCAGGTTCTGCCTTAGTGTCCGAATGACCGCTACTGACCACAGGTGTGGACACTACATTCATTGGCATTGGCATGGAGTGGTTTTCAGCGACAAGCTGAGGAGCTGGTTGAGGTACGACAACGGGAGGTGCTGCATAGCGATACACTGATCCATTAAGTTCAGATGGATTATTAGGCTCTGACCATGATTGGCCGCCAGACGAGGATGAAATCATGTATTCTTTATTAACACAATTGCGTAGGTTACCAGGAACGCGTCCTGTGATAGCCCGTCTGATCTCACCGGCTGCACTCTCACGTACCTCTGTGCTACTCTGCTCACTATACCAAGAGCAATGTGGAGTGCAGATCAGATTAGGAGCATCCTTGAGAGGACCTGAGGTAAATGTAAACGGCTCCGTTTCATGGACGTCAAGCGCCGCGGCTCGGATGCGACCTTCTTTGAGTGCTTGAGCGAGGGCATTCTCATCGATGAGACCGCCGCGTGATGTATTGACCAGGAAAGCTCCTTGACGCATCTGTTTGATGGTGAACTCGTTTATTAGATGATGATTGTGCTCGTTGAGAGAACAATGAAGTGTCACGCAGTCACTCTGGAATAACAGATCCTGCATCAAAGGAAAGAACAAATATAATTCAATTACATCATGAAGCAACGACCATCAGAACTATGTATAAACTATTACTTGATTAAATCCATAGCATTTTTATACCTGTCATGGTATACTTGTAGCTTTATGGTATGTGAATGAGCACAAATTTTGAGCAAAGACTTAGTGGCAACTTTCCTGGTTAGATGAACAAAGTCATTAACTGATTACAGATTATATCAATAATAGATACCATTTGTCTAAACAAGAAGAGATTGTAGTTTGCTGCTATGGTTTTTTGTATGAACAAGCTTGAACGGCTTGTACTTATGGATGAATGATTGTTTGCCTGCACTCCAATACCGTCTCTTTGTGTGCAAACAGAGTAATTATTAAAACAAGATGAAAATTCTGTTTTACTACTGGGGCTTGAAACCACACACTAGAAGGGTGTAATGGGCCCTCTTTTGTTACACATACAAAAAACTTACTGTGATAAGGGCAAAAACACTGATTCCCCGGGGCTCTTTCTCTGCCTGAATTGACTCACTAACATACACTACCAGCATACGACTTGTGGTGAAAAGAATCTATGGGAGATCCTAACACATCACATCTATGTGTAACCAAACAAACCACACTAACATCTGATCTTTAGAGGTCTCTACATACCTGTAGTGTGTAGACTCTGGTTAATCCAAATGCTTTCTCCATGCCATCTTGCAAGTAGGGGTCATAGAAAAGTAGGTTGAATCCAAAGGCTTTTGCTCTCATAGCTACTGCTGTACCAACACGACCTAAAGCACGATTGGATGTTAAAGAATAAAACAAAGAAGAATGGATTAAATATTGCAGCCTTTAAGCTTCATGTGAGGGGTTTCCGAAATTAATTGAAACATTTCGACATAACTCCTAGTACTAGATCATGCGGCCAATTTCTCATACAAGAGCGTGCAACAATTCGTTTTCCTTTGGACTTAACTTCTCTCATACAAGCCTTACCATTTACATGTATGTACATATTATATTTTATACAACACCTACGTGGATCCTTGTCATTTGATTGGACGATTGTTGGTCACATGATATTCAATAGATGGTATATTGCACGGTCGTGCATTTTTGGTTATATGCGCCGTGCATTTTTGGTTATATGCGCCGTGCATTTTTGGTTATATGCGCCGTGCATTTTTGGTTATATGCAGACTGCGTATCTCTCTGCTGCATGTGCGCGCGCGTATCCCTGCGTGTATCTGACGCGAAGGCAATCTGCATGTAATTGAGAAGGCTTGACTCGAACTGTAATTTATCTTTATAAGGAGTAAAGCATAATTTGTTGATTAACGTTCTATTAGGTCTTCTTCGATGTTGTATAAAACAAATAATGAATGTTTTTCATTCGTTTAATAGTGCAAATATTTTCATTCGTTGAAAGATTAACGTTAATTCTATTCAACTCGGCTGACGCCTCGTTGAATAGAATGTTAATCTTTCAACTCATGAACATATTCGCACTATTGAACTCATAACCATTCATTATTTGTATATTAATCTCTATCATCATAACAATAGAAGGTAGGATATAGAATATCTCATCTGTTTTCAAAGAGAATGTGGTTAGAGCATGGGTTGCAATGGGTTTTAAGTTCAGGTTTAGGGTAAGGGTTATGGACAATGTTGGGTCCTGAGTAGAAATACGAATTTGACTAGTGGTATAAATAAAAAAAACTGAGTAACTGTCATCAGAATATATGGGGAACAATTGCTTTAAAGATCTGCTCCACCCAGGTGAGGTAAATGGGTACTTGGCAGGATTTTCCTTGAAATGCACCATGCATTGGTAACGGCTGCCCGGGTTAAAGCTAGCGAAATAATACCCAGAAGCCCTTTGGAATGGCATAGAGACGTTATATCATGATGTGATATACACTTTACAAGAACTGGAAATTGTAGTTATTATAAGTGTCATCTCTTATTAGCACACAGATTTTGAATGCTAAGTTTTCTATGATTCATGAAGGGTTGTATGACAAATGGTTCAAGTGACAACTGCTCCACAATCAGTATTCTACATTAACCAAGATCCTAACTTCAACTCTAGAATAGAAACTGTACCTAGCTCTGACACTAACCCTAACCTAAAACCTAATCCTAACTCTAACCTAAACCCTATCATTTTGATGAACCTGGGGCAACTGTCACCACAGCATGCTGGATGATCTGATGAAGTGACCTTACCCATTCCTATAATCCCGAGAGTCTCGTTGCGAATTCTTGTAGCTCCTGCACCGGCTTCCCTGATCTGTTCAGCACCTGAAAGCTTCTTGCCCTGTTTGACCATCTCAGCCATCCAATGAGTTCGTCTATACAGATTCAAGATCATACACAGTGTGGAGTCTGCGGCCTCCTCTACACCATACCCAGGGACATTACACACTGCTACACCTGTATCAAAGAGAAAGATGAACTTCACATTGAACACTTCAATATTACGAATCTATAACTTTACATCACCCTAGGACATTACCGTATTTGCCGGCGATAAGGCCGCACCGCCGCATAGGCTGCACCCCAATTTTGACATTTAAAAGAGGGAAGAAAAAAAAAAGGAAAAAAAAAAAAAAAAAACGGACAAAACAAAATAATCATAATTTTCTCGAAAACACTACTTTTTTTTTACAAACTGATACCAAATTCATCAAGATTCTTATAATTTACTGGAAGTTTAGCTAAAAAAGTGATCGCAGGCAGATTTGGTGTCCGATATATACCCCTACCACAATGTACGGTGTAATGCGAAACTGCATGAAATGGAAAACAAAATGGCGACTTCGGATGGATGTTCGCGGCAGCTTCGTTAAACGGTCCCTTCCTTTACTTTTGCAATGCATTGGCACGAACTTAGATCAAGATCTATCAGCAAATGTTGTGTTCGGACGTTTTTTTCGTCTTCATGTCATCAATGCAAGATAAAATTGTCGGTAAGATGTGTGGAAATGTCCTGTACCATAGTGGTAGTTATTTTACCGTTCATAGTCCTATATGTGCAAATTCGTGCTGGTTCTGACTTTCGTTTTTTTTTTTTTTTTTACTCTTCCACCGTTAAGGCCGCACCCCGACTTTTTAATATTTTCTTTTCCAAAAATACTGCGACCTTTACGCCGGCAAATACAGTAACCCTATTCCAAACGGGCAATTTCAGACCAGGTTTTTACTGGTTTAAGTGTGGCAAATGTCGATCAATGTCTTGCCAAAGGACATTAGTGCCGCGGTGGGTCTCGAACAGCGGACCTTGTGATCGACAGTCCGGCGACTTAACCACTCGACCACGGCAACTCTACAAAATATACAAAATGATTGCTTCTGTTCATATAAGATTGGCCAAAACATCATTTAAAAAATTGGATTGCACATTAAAATCTCAAAAGATATGTTGATATGAACATTCATTTGTAAGGGTGCCACCAAGTTTGTTTAAACTTACCCATTTCTCCTGCAGCTTTGATGTCCACATTGTCGAATCCAGATCCGATTCTGACGATGATACGGAGAGCTTTAAACTTCTCAAGATCTTCTCTTGTCAATGTGATTGTGTGGTAGAGCAGGGCTCCTACTGCTTCATTTAGCACCTAGAAAATCAAACAAAGAAAACATTAATGTTAACGTAGAAGTACCTCAACATTCTGACGTGGAGCTCTTTTGACAAATTAAACGGGACAAATCAGCTTCAAATTATCTATGGGCTATTTGCAAGCTGGTAAATGACTAAGTAAGTACCATCCTTGGATCCCTCGTAATTTTACCACTGTAAACATTGCTGTTCTAAGATATTAATGATGAAATACATTTCACATACTTAGTGATTTCATGTTGTGTTCTGGATGTCACTAAAGTCACAATCATGAGTTTCATAGTAACAATGCAAGATAAACTTATCTCACATTTCCCTTTCAATTAATTTCCCATCATGGAGTGGGATATTCAGTTTATATTCATAGGCAAAAGAAAGTCTAAAAAAACATTCATTAACGGCTAACAAGACTAGCAAGTAGCAACCAAACATGTGCCATAAAGACCTAGAAAAATTTCATAAAAGAGTTAAAATTTGATATGGGTAAAAAGTAAAAAGACAGCATATACTGATGCATCTACACTGTAATACTCATTCAAGAGCAAATAATACCACAACTTATATGAGTCAGTAGTGGAATAGGTAATTCCAACAAGGATTCAATCATACAATTACTTTCTATGGTATTTCATATTCTGGAGTTGAATGATTTGAGACTATTTAAAAAAGGAAGTGGTTAAGACCAGTGAACAAAGCCAGGAATCATAGGACCAGCTTTACATCATCACCACAAACCAACAAAGCAAGGGAAATTATGTTGTTGTGTCATTTGTCAAAATGTCTACTTCCAACTGTGCAGAGGGCTAAACATATCATGTGATAATCAAACATTTCCTTTGCTTTGCTACTACATACAGGTCTAAATTCAGACAGAGCATAAGCTTTAATCAATCATTTTTCTAGGGGAGGAAATACATGTAGCATTCACTACTTTATGCTGATGATTTTTTGTGACGTTTATGAACAAAACATTGAATACAACCCTAATCAGAAAATTATCTCTAAATATAAATATTAACTATATCTATATCTTTATGTACCATTTTGACAATGGAAGTCCAATTAGGTACATGACTTAGGTATAAGCCTAGTCTACAGCCCAAATAATTCAAACCTTATATCACATTCCAGAGGATTTGTATTGGTCTATTACCTACATGTACCCTGAACCCATACAATAGGCCCCTATTGTGATGAATGATAGGAAACATGTCTAAAAGCCAAGACTTCCCTGGACATCACTTCTTCACACCTAGCTATTCTATCATGAGGTCATTTAGAGGTCATTACTCCTCATTGAATATTTGATGCAGGGGCATGCATACATTTTAGAAAATATTCAAATAATCTTTCATTGATAAAGATCATTTTCACATGTGACTTTCTAAAAGGCAATTTCCACATGTTCAATTCAATTCAAAGTTTATTCAATACTCTTCATAAAAACATTTAATTTTTTAAAGACAATTTTCATTCAGATGTTTAACTGCTAAGATTTACCTACCACCTATTACAAGAGAGCATAAATGAACCATATCACATGATGTCCGGCTAAGCAAATTTCAAGCAGGCCATTAATAAACACTTTACATAAGAACATGATGCTTAGTGTGAATACCAGGGGTATCTCTAAGAGGTCGGTGGCCATGCTCTAGAATGACTCACTCTCTTCTGGCATTATCTCCTAGCATTGTGGTCACTCTGTAGTTTGTCCCATATAACCACCACCCATAGTCTAGATGAACAGACATGGGTGTAGAGGCACAGACCCTTGCCTATTCATACACAGTAAACCTTCATCTTCATCAGATTAACATGGCAGAACAAAGCATGGAGAGAATGCTTTGATGATGAAAGACAGCTGACTAGTAAGATGAAAGTACTCACACTTCTTAGAGGCTACAAAGGGGTGTGTTTCTATCTAAACCAACTCTTAAGTCTTCATATGGCATCTTCCATACTGCTCTGTACATGTATACAGTATACTGATTTAACTGTTATCCATAAAATCACCCAATATATACTTTAAACTAGATGGAATTTTGACTGCGCGCAGTCGAAAATGATGCCTCCGCCATAGAGCAATTTAAACAAGTTTGGAGTTTAAATCTCCAGTGGTTCTTGAGATATCATGATAACAATCTCAATGTATGGAATTTCATAAGTTGACCTCTGTGACCCTTGACCTTTGACCTACGTGCTCCAAAATCTAATCAGATTGTCTTCCTATGGTGATACACACTATCATTAAGTTTGAAGTTTAAATCTCCAGTGGTTCTTGAGATATTATGATATGGTGATACACACTATCATTAAGTTTGAAGTTTAAATCTCCAGTGGTTCTTGAGATATTATGATATGGTGATACATACTATCATTAAGTTTGAAGTGAAAATTCTCCAGTGGTTCTTGAGATATCGCGATAACGATCTCAATGTATGGAATTTCATAAGTTGACCTCTGTGACCCTTGACCTTTGACCTACGTGCTCCAAAATCTAATCAGATTGTCTTCCTATGGTGATACACACTATCATTAAGTTTGAAGTTTAAATCTCCAGTGGTTCTTGAGATATTATGATAACAATCTCAATGTATGGAATTTCATAAGTTGACCTCTGTGACCCTTGACCTTTGACCTACGTGCTCCAAAATCTAATTAGATCGTCTTCCTATGGTGATACATACTATCCTTAAGTTTGAAGTTTTTACATCTCCAGTGGTTCTTGAGATATCATGATAACAATCTCAATGTATGGAATTTCATAAGTTGACCTCTATGACCCTTGACCTTTGACCTACGTGCTCCAAAATGTAATCAGATTGTTTTCCTATAGTGATACACACTATCACTAAGTTTGAAGTTTAAATCTCCAGTGGTTCTTGAGATATCATGATAACAATCTCAATGTATGGAATTTCATAAGTTGACCTCTGTGACCCTTGACCTTTGACATACGTGCTCCAAAATCTAATCAGATAGTCTTCCTATGGTGATACATACTATCCTTAAGTTTGAAGTTTAAATCTCAAATGGTTCTTGAGATATCGCGCTAACAAACTCAATACAAGGAATTTCATAAGTTGACCTCTGTGACCTGTGACCTTTGACCTACGTACTCCAAAATCTAATCAGATCGTCTTCCTATGGTGATAAATACTATTCCCGAGTCTTAAGTTTAAATCTTAAATGGTTCTTGAGATATTGTGATAACGGTCAAACGGGACGGACGTACGGACGTACGGACGGACGTACGGACGGACGTACGGACGTACGGACGTACGGACGGACAACCCGAAAACATGATGCCTCCGGCACCACCTTCGGTGGCGGAGGCATAAAAAACCTCATTATTGCAGTACGTCTTACTCATAAATGTATTGGACAAAATTTATTTCAACATATGAAACAAAAACAAAAATAGAATTTGACACTTTAATTCCTAGTTAGTGCTAAAAAAATCTGCACTGAATGCATCTATTTAAAGCCCTACTGCACTACTTATAGCTACTTGCGCCCTCTATAGAGCAAACAATGCCTAATTGGTTACCATCAGTCCCCCATGGTCCCCTTTTTCTTTTGTTAATTGAGATCTTATATGATGAGATATCCACCTGTCAGTGACCATGTAGGGAGGTCTAATCCCTCCTGGCTTTACTAGTGCAGTGGGGCTTTAAAGCTCTCACTCTAGTAGTCAATGATCTTGTAAATAGAACTTCAATATGAGCAGCCTTGAGCTTAACAAGCATAAATCATATGTTTTTGACCTTTCATCAGTTTCATGAGTCAAAATCAACAAAAATAAACTTGATGATGAGACTGTTTAATGTCCATGGTCAAACAATGCTCTAGACTAGACGACTTGAAACCTATCAGTGTGTGTCACAAGGTTGGAAAGATGTATGAGACTACGCGATAAGAATTCATTCATTCAAAATCTACCACTACAAGGGTGATTAGAAAGAACTAGTACGGTACCCCTCTTATCCCAGGCTACTCTACAAGCCAGGATAACTAGGGGTCTTAGCCAGAGCTGCCAGGGGTCCTAACAAGGGGTCCCTCCTGCCTGACACAGGATGGTGGAGATGACCCAAATCAAGTCTTCCGGAAGGGGAACTGGTAAACCCCTTTTTCTCTTGGAAGAATGAGTCATCATTGGCCAAGGTTTCTACCTGGACTGGTTGGTAATGCTGTGGTAGTAAGGTGTATAAGGCCTGGCATATACAACACAAGCAACAAGCCAATGCTTAGCTACATGATTCTGTATACGTTCATTTAGTTGATAACTTTGTTATACAGCCAAACCTGTCTACAGCAACTGCCCAAGGGAAACACGAAAAGTGGTCTTTATAAATGTAGACAGGTGGTCTTTGCAGACAGGTTCCTTTAGTACATGTTTCAATGAGAAACCGTTTTCAAGGGAAATAAAAAATGTGCTTGTTGTAGAAAGGTGGTCACTAAAGCAGGTTTGACTTTAGTATGCTATGTACAACCGAAATTGAAAAAGTAACTAATAACAGGAGCAGTAGTTTTCTTTTAAGTAAAAAGAAGAAATGGAAACGTAGAAAAAAGGAAACCAGAAGAGAAATGGAAAAGATTATGAGGAGACATAAAAGGACTGTACAGAAAGTATGTGAGCTCATAGTGTAATTCAACAATGCATTGTAGAAAACTTGGGCAGGGTTGGTTTGGTTGGTTGCCTACTGAGGCAATACCACCATTTCCCCCCACAGAATTACTTGGCAGCAACAGGAAAGAGACCCCCCACAGTCATCTCAGAGTTAAGAGGTTAAAGAGTGGACATGGTTATTATCAAATTAACAGTTGGCATTGTGACTTCCATCCAAAAGACAAAGATCCATACACATACATACATACCACATGTTATCTCATCAACCAATGAATCATCATTAAAGGACACTAACTCAAAACCAGACAATTTAATTTAGTGGTAACATCTTCATTGATAGTAACATCCAACCTGCATATAAAAACACA